TTGAATTTGAAGTTGGTAAACTAACTTTGTGCTTAGCTAATACCATATTTAGCAGGAATTAGAAAGTACTTATTGATCTAGGAAAATTAGGAGTAAACAAAATTTTTAAAAAGTGTTTTGAGTTCTTTATTTCATAATTTGAAAACATTCAGGTCTTCTACTTCATTTGAGCATAAAAGCCAGGGTTCATTTAAATAAGTCAGGAAAAATAAATTAGTAAATAAATATCTAAAGCATCTAAGTTAATAAGTCAGTATTTTAATATTCATATTTTGGATTCAGTTACTTTACTTTTAGGATTATTTAAGGAGTAATTGGATTATGTGAATGATTTTTTTTTTTTAATGTGAATGATATTTGTCACGGGTTATTTGCTACTGTGGAAAGCATGGGGGAAATATAGCAGCCAATCCCCAGGATGACTGATTGGTAGGAAGAGACCTCTCCCCACTCATTGTAAGTTTCTGTTTTATTTAGCCAAGGAGACAAAAAGGTTTTGGAAGTGGCCATACAGAGCAAGAACAGATGTATCATGTCTTCATGCGGCTTTCCTTGACCCACAGCAGTTCTTGCCAGGAAGGCAGAACTCCTGGTGACACTCTCTGAAAAAGGTCGAGGCTTGCAGATCCAAGATGCTGGAATTCATGTGGTTTCATGAGTTTACTGTTGTGAGGAGAGTGATTTCTGCATTGGATACAGTACTTTTCCAATTTCCTACTTGCTGCCATATAGATACATACATGGATTTAAAAAAAAAATGAGTAAATAACTATTAATAGTCTTATGGTACAAGTAAATTTCTATTACAGAAAATATCCTCTATAGAGAAGCTGCTTCGTATCTTTAAGGTGGCTTATCCTAATAGTTACACCAGCACACAAATGCTCACACCTGAAGTGTCCCACAGCACCCCACTAGTCACTCTCTGTAACAGTTGTTCTAGACTTTGTTGTTGTGAGAGCCCATTCATGTTTTATATGTTGTTTGTGAAGCCACCCTTTTTTTTAAATAGAAGAACGTGGCATATTCAAGCTGGGTATTTTCATTTATGCAAATCAAAACTAATTTTGCTTTTGAAGATTGGCAGACTCTTTTGACATAGGTGGAACTTTTGAGGATATTGTTCTTTAAAGTCTCTGATTGTGTGCTTTATGCAGAACAAAATTTTGAAAAATAAAGAGAAGCAAGCAATTAATGCTTCTATTGTTCAGCTGATAGTAATCACCCTTTACCAAAGAAACTAACTGCCTCACTGCCTTCTCTCTCTTTCCCGTACTTCTGTTCATCCATTCAGTAGACATCTGTTGGACATCTTCTATGAGCCAGGCATCCTGCCCGACTCTGGGCAGACAGAAATGAAAGACATGTACTCTGCTGTGCAGGAACGTAGGTGTTAGTGCTTGTACAACATTGCAGGAAACAAATGCGATGATGGAAACAAGGGCTCTTAACTCAGCCCAAGAGGCTGGAAGACTGGGAGAGCCTCCTTGAGAGAGGGTGATGTCCAGAGCTTGAAGAGCAGGAAGTAAGGAAAGAGAGTAATTCAGGTGAAGAGGGTCAAGTGGGTATTCTGAGGAGAGAATCAAGAAAAATGTATGAAATAGCAGTTACAACACATGGGAGAGAGAACATACTAGACAAATGTGACTTGCCCGTCATTGCTGACTGCCGTTTTGATGATGGGGATTAAGAATTTAGGTGACACATTCTGCACAGTATGTATAATTTTTCTCCACCATCACTCACTTGCACGGGTTACAAGCATGGAGGAGAAGGGGAGGTGATTGAGTTTACCAGGGTTGGTTTTTGCCAAGTGGGTGCAGTACAGAGCTAGAAAGCTTAGGGAGGGGGTGGTACTTGCAAGGGTAATTGTAATGATAAACTATGGACTGCAAGATGGAAAAGGAGAGAGGTGGAGGCAGGAGGGAGCTGATGGAGAAGGAGACATGTTGATGGGTCAGTGGACTTTTGAGGCCTTTTACTAAGGCCAAAGAGTTGTTGCTGTGGGTAACACAGAGTGTTCCTGAAAAAGTAGTTGGAGAATGTGTTTGCATGTGTGATTTTGGAAATAGTGTAGTTTCCAGTGGTGAAATGATTGAAGATGTAACCTTGGAAGTGATGTATGGTAGAAGTAGAGTGAAAGAAAGTGTCTCTGTGAGGAGGCAAAGGCACTGAGAGGTCAGCGTGTTAGGTAGGTTGCCCATGCCTACATGGGTGTGAAGTTAACAAGACTAATGACAGTAGCTGAGAGAGAAAGGGAGACTGTGAGCTAGAGGAGTTGGCCAACAACCATCACAGTAGACCGGGACAAGCCTCTAAGGCTTTTGCAAAAGGAGGGAAGTAGAATAATTATTTAAAGGTGGGTGGAAGGCACGGGGGTGGCTCAGTCAGTTGGACATCCGACTCTTGGTTTCAGCTCAGCTCATGATCTCATGGGTTGTGGGATGGATCCTGTGTCAGTTCGTGCTCGGGGGAGTCTGCCTGAGGATTCTCTCCCTCTGCCCCTCCGCCCACTCATGCTCACACTCCCTCCCTTTCTCTCTCTCAAATAAATCTTTAAAAAAATAATTCAGGTGGCATTGGGGAGCAAGGAGAGCCCTGAAGTACATAGGGTGGTAGAAAAGACTAGCCTTCTTTAACAAGATTGCAGAGGAAGTAGTCTGGAGGCAACCATATTTTAGGTAAGGCCAACGGTTGGAGAGAACATTCTGAAGAAGAAGTTGAGGTTACTGGGGAGTTTGCTAATCACGGAGCTGGAGCTATAGAGTGGAAAGATTTTGGAAGAAGGGAAGGGATGCATAGAGGATTATGGAATTAGAGCTCCAGGGATACGGGTCAGAGAAAAAGACTTCCAGTGTCACTGAGGTAATGGGAGGAAAGATAGGATTCATTTTGATAGTCTCTGAGTGAACTTGTATTAGGTCAGTGTTTATTGAACCAGGAAAACTAGGAGTCTGTGGATCCACTCGCTGAGGGCAATAGTTTACTAGTGATTTTTAAAAATTTGGATTGTATTTTAATGATAGTCTAAAAGTTTATTTCAGTGCCCAGAGTAGAGTTTGTTTACTTGGAATTGCCACCAACTAGTACTATACATTTATATGAAATTACAATCAGAATTTAAATCAACACTATAGAACCATGAGAATTTGAGAAAATTGGCTAATTATATCGAAGATTCCTTCCAATTCTAAAATACATTCATTCTGATTCTGTGCTTTCTTACACATAGAATACATTAGTTTTTAGGTACAGTAGTCTCCCCCTGTCTGCAAGGGATCTGTTCCAAGACCCCCAGTGGCTATCTGAAACTGCAGATAGTACTGACAGAGTATACCTATGATAAAATTTAATTTATGAATTAGGCATAGTAAGAGATTAACAACAATAACTACAAATAGAACAATTATAACAATATAATACAAGTTGAATGTGGTCTTTCTCTCACTCAGAATATCTTACCGTACTGTACTCACCCTTCTTGGGATGATATGAGATGATAAAATGCCCAGGTGATGAGATGAGGTAGGGGAATGATGTAGCGTCTGCCTTTGGCTCAAGTCATGATCCTGGGATCCTGGGATCCTGGGATCCTGGGATCCAGCACACGGCGGGCTCCCTGCTCAATGGGGAGTCTGTTTCTCCCTCTGCCCTTTGCCCCTGCTCATGCTCTCTCTCTCAAATAAATAAAATCTTTAAAAATAAATAAATGAATAACCAGCAAATCCATCACCTAGAAACATTCACTGTTAGCTTAGTGATATCCCTCTGGATCTGTTTATTTTTGTGTATGTGTTTCTCTGCCTCTCTCTGAATCTATTTATGGGTATGTGTATGTATGTATGTAGATCTCAAAAAAGCAGGAAAAGATATTTTAAAAATTGAAAACAGGGTTATGCTGTAATCTATTATAAATGTTTTACCATGTCGGTAAGTATGTTCCTGTATCATCATTCCTAATAGCTGCATGTTACTCCATTTAAGGATTGTCATAATAATTTAACCAGTCCCCTATTTGGGGACATTTAGGTGGTTTCTAGTCTTTCACTTTGATGTAATACCTGCCAATAAACATCCCTCAATAATTTACATTTTTGGTCCTATTTCAATTATTTATTTATGTTTCCCATTATAAAAAAGTCATTCAATTTGATCATATCCCAGATATAATCTAGAGTAATTTATTTGTGATCATCTTTTTTTTGGTAAAAAAAATTACAGGTTTTTAGGGAAAAAACATATCTAATCAAATGTTCTGTGTGTTTGTCAGTCCAGTATTTTCCGAACCATTTTCCTTGGAACCTAAAGGCTTCTTCCATTAGAGCTTCCCGTGCTGCTCCTCTTGTATCTCTTTTCTTGTAGGAGATTTTTTTTTTAAGTTTTACTATTAAAAAGAAATCAGTGATTAAGCCATTGAGCCAATCCCTAAGATGTGAAGTTAAGTTTCATGATTAGTGGCAGAGAGGACCAGGACCTATATTTTCTGACTCCTAACAAGAAACTTAGAATAAGTTCATTCTCTACAAATAAAACAATAAATAAACTCTAACCCAGTATCTGGATTGCTTACTTTGAACATATTTGCAGCATGTCCTTTATTTGTATGTTATCTTTCTTCTTTATTTCCACTTCAACAATTGGAATTAAAACATTTTAGAAGACACTAATCATCTGCGTAACCAGTAATTAGCATTGATGAATAGAGAGGAAATCTCAGACAGCTGCCAAGTTGACCACTAAAGTGAGGTATGATTTGCTAGTATTTGTCATCTGCAGGACTTTATAATTATAATAATAGCAGTGTAGTTACACTGTGATGGAAAGTTGACAGTTAACTCTTTCCACTTATCAAACTTAGGAACAATTCTGAAAGTTTCTAGTTTCCAGGTAATTTATCATTCAAGTGATTAAAATCTATTTTTGGCCACAATTATGAACAATAACAAAATTTTACATGTGGATGACATTAACACAGTATTCTTTCTTTTTTTAATTTCCAGGGAAAGACTACTATTATTCTAAGGTGTCTTGACAGGTAAGTGTTATGTTAACCTTTAGACTACATTTTCTGTTTATTCTAGTTGTGCAGGGCAAGTTAGATTCTAAAAGACATGTGGAAGGAGAACAATTTTGAGGCCCAAACAATAACTTAATTCTTAGTGAATCCTTAGTATGGCCTTTAAGACCTTCTTTAAAGACAAAAACAACAGTAAGTAAAATATATATATATTTATATATATAAATGTTTTTTGTATATATATATGTTTTTTGTATATATATGTTTTTTTGTATATATGTGTGTGTGTATATATATGTATGTATATATACAGAATTAGTGCGGAATTTTCCTATTTGGGGAAGAAAGGAACATAACTATGATACTAGTTACCTGCTTTTTGGCTGTGCTACTCTGATATTTGATTTATTTTACCTAGTCTATGATTATCTGAACATTAATTATAATCTTTAAATTTCTCATGGAAACATTTTTGAAGGACAGCGTTCGTCTTCAAACTGTATGTTTTACCATTTGTTTTTTATACTTCCTAACCTTCTATATGGCCATCAGAGTAAGATTTGGGATTATGATCAGTGGACATTGAAGGAAACTGAAAGTCTTTAACTGATTTTGGAAGATATCCCTTCAGGGGCGCCTGGGTGGCTCAGTCGTTAAGCGTCTGCCTTCGGCTCAGGTCATGGTCCCAGGGTCCTGGGATCGAGTCCCACATCGGGCTCCCTGCTCGGCGGGAGGCCTGCTTCTCCCTCTCCCACTCCCCCTGCTTGTGTTCCCTCTCTCGCGGTGTCTCTCTCTGTCACATAAATAAATAAAATCTTAAAAAAAAAAAAAAAGGAAGATATCCCTTCATTCCAATACCTATTTCTTATAACTTCTCCAAAAACATCAACATAGGTGGAATGTTGTCTCAGGGTCACATTAAAGAATCATCATCCATTTTGAAAAGTACTATTAAAGAATTGAAATAATAGAATCATTACTTTGTGTGATTCCTTTCACCAACCAAATGGTTTTTAGAAGAACCATCTATAGTAACACCTGCATCATCTTTCCATCCCCAGGAGTCATGGCTCTTTTTAGATCATATGTGTTTCATTCTACAAATAAGTCATCTAACACAATATCAGCTTAGGATGAAATATGACACTGAACTGAATTTCAGTTCCTTGACAGTCTACTTAGAAAAAAGACAGTTCTGTCTATTTTATGTTAAATATCAGAGCTTATAAATTTTGTCTTAAAAGTAGCATTTCTTTTCACAAAAGAAAATTAGTATCTTTTAGGAAATACAACCAAATATTTTACTATGTATATCAAAAAAAGATATTTGTAGGGATGATATACAAAATATTTAATAAAGATAAATATATAAATTGCAAATTTAAAAATGATTTCTCTTCTCCAAATTCAAAAAGATATATACCACTACTGTTCAGCCTTAAAAAGGAAGAAAATTCTGACGCATGCTACAACATGGATGAACCTTGAGGACATTATGCTAAGTGAAATAAGTCCGTCACAAAAAGACAAATACTGTGTGATTCCACTTCTGTGAGGTATCTCAGAGCAGTCAGATTCACAGAAACAGAAGGTAGAATGGTGTTTGCCAGGGTCTGGAAGGAGGGGGAAAATAGTTATTGTTTAATGGGTATAGAGTTTCAGTTTTGCAAGATGAAGAAGTTCTAGAGTTTGTGCAGCAGTGTGAATATACTTTTTTTTTCTTTAAAGATTTTATTTATTTATTCATGAGAGACAGAAAGAGAGAGAGGCAGAGGCAGAGGGAGAAGCAGGCTCCCCGCGGAACAGGGAGCCTGATGTGGGACTCGATCCCAGGACCCTGGGATCATGACCTGAGCCGAAGGCAGTTGCTTAACCAACTGAGCCACCCAGGTGTCCCACCAGAATGATTTTTTTTTTTTTTTTAAGATTCCATTTATTTATTTGACAGAGAGAGACACAGCGAGAGAGGGAACACAAGCAAAGGGAGTGGGAGAGGGAAAAGCAGGCTTCCCGTGGAGCAGAGAGCCCGATGCAGGGCTCGATCCCAGGACCCTGGGATCGTGACCTGAGCCAAAGGCAGATGCTTAACAACTGAGCCACCCAGGCGCCCAGCAGTGTGAATATACTTAACATTACTGAACTGTACACTTAAAAATGGTTAAGAAGTAAATTTATGTTACGTGTTTTTCACTACAATAAAAAATGAAATAAATAAGTAGATATATACCATAAAACTGCTTACCAAGCAGTATAACTGCAGTGTCAGTAATTCATCATTTGTCCATTTTTAAGACTTGTTGATGTAATTTGTTAGTTTGCAGCTCTCACTATTTAAATGATGCCCATTGTTTGAGCCATGAGTTAAAATAGAGAATTATATTCAAGTCTTCTGTTGATGTCTCCATTGAATCGATAATCATTAGATTCCCAGCTCCCACATTAGGGCCAAGCACAAACCTGATAACAGTGCTTCCCACGTGACCTGAACGCCAAGAGCTGTGCCCTGACACGGCGCCCACCCCTGGCAGCCACACTACCTTCTCCACTCGCCCCGACAGTGCCTGTGAGGGCTATTGCATCACGCACGTGCCATTAGTCATCTCTGCAGCTGTGACTAAAATCCTTGAAGGTGGTTTTGTGAAGGCTTATTTATTTTTTATATAAAATTTTTATTAGTTTTACCTCAGTGTTATTCCACAAAGTAACTTCCCTACTAATAGAACAAGTTTTTCAGAGGAAGCAGAAATGAATTGGGTAATATGATAGCATAAGAAAACCCATGGTGCTAACACTATCTGTCTTTATTGTGCAGGGATGAGCCCCCAAAACCAACCTTAGCTTTGGAATATACATACGGAAGAAGAGCAAAAGGGCACAATATAGTGAGTGTCTTTTTAAGTGATATTGCTATGCTTGTGGATGGAGAAGTAATAATGCCAACTTTGTTTTATATTTTCATCTTATCTATAATCAATAAAAATATCCAGTGTACACTTCATAGCTATGTGCTTTTAAACTTCAAATGCACCTTAGCAGATGTGAAGCCAACCCAAACTGTGAAAATAATTTAGCCTTCTTGTTGGTTGTACCTTAAAATGCTGGAATAAGTTTCCTTTGTAACTTTTTTGTACAGTTTGGACATATTTATGTTAATTGTGTTAATGTGACTTTTTCTTCTTTCAAGTAGGAATAATATTGTTACATCCTATCTCCCCCCAAAATCTGCTGAAAATAAGAGTTTGGCCTGTAGAATATTTTTGAAAATACACTATTCAAGATCCAAATTATTAGCATTTTTACAAACATATCTTGAAGTTAGTAATATTATTTGAGACCGGAGGCCATAATTGGTTATAATCCTATTTTCACTGTTCGAGTGTCTACTCAGAGGAAAGTTGGAGGTTATTCAGGACAGAAGGAGAGTTTATGACATATTTTAGAAGGATAAAAAAAAATCTGAAATAGAATCCTCATTTGGGGTTCTCACATGAAGAGGTCATTTCTTAAATAGAGTTAGGTGTATGGAAGAACAATCATACCCCGCTTGTCCCGTGCCACAGGCAAATTTTTACAGATTGACCTAGTCCAAATGTTTGATCATTGGACAGTGTGTAAGAGTTAAAACTGCCTGTTGCTAGATTCACCAATGAAAGTTGGTTATTAAGACTGTGAGATTAAAAAGAAAAGAAATAACATAGTGAGATGCGGGAAAACCTTATTTTTGTGACTCACATGAATTTTGATATGAGTGAAGACCTAGAAATGGGATTATGCTTTTCATTGGAAACTTTGAAACAGCTTTCATAGCTTCACTTTTGAGAAGAGCTCTAAAAACTCCCCTTCATCAAACTGTGACTCAAGGGAGATTTTTCAGTGAAAAATTATTTCCCTCATAAACATTAGTGATTCAGATATTAACAGCAAATATTCAAATATCAATAGCAAAACAGTTTTAGTGATTATGAGATGATAATTTGTCAAAAATATATATACTCATCTAAAACTCGCTTCAATGACCATCTGTCTCTTCCAGGTTAATGGCAATAGATATATAAAAACTCATGCGATTTTTTTTTTTTTTCCTAAACTTTGTGTTGGTAAGTTGGGCTTTTCCATATTCATTCTGGAAGATTGATGTTTTTCTCAGATTTAATGTTCCCTAAGAGTTCCAAGTGGAAGCACTGTGTCAGCTCCTCACACAGTCGTGGTGTCACGAAGGCCCCTGAACAGCAGGGAGGAAGCAGAGAAGCCTTTGGTTAGCAGTCCCCAAGAAGGCTGTCCTGGAACAGATGCTCCTACCCCCAAGCTGCATGGCTGCCTCACCCTTACAATCCCCCAGTGTTTAAGAGTCCTATAAAAAGGGAAGCGGTTTTTCAGTCTCTTCTTGTTCTCCACCTACCATGTCAATGTTTCATCCTTGTTTCTTGGAATAGATGTTTCAGCGCATTTTGAGGGATGGGATAAAGAAAGAGGAAAAGTTTTGACTGCCAAGAAAAGGTTTATTGAGGACTACAGTACTTTGTATCCATAATTATTACTGGCTGATGCTAATGAACTTACGAAGTATTTGAAAATAAAAAATATATATTTTTTCATATGAAAAATACCTGTTTTTTCAGCCAAAAGACATTGCTCACTTTTGGGAACTAGGTGGAGGAACCTCCTTATTGGACTTAATCAGCATACCAATCACAAGTGATACCTTACGGTAAGTGAGCTGGCTCCAGAAACAGTTGTTAGTAAGTACTCAGGAGCATCCGCAGGATGAATATGGGTGGGCTTTTGGGAATCATAATTTGAGGGGGCAGTTTTATGTTGCTGAAGGTTTACACTCCCTTTCTATGCACTTAAAACGTAATGCTTACGAAGAGATGTTAAAAGAACCAGGGTTTGGCCTGTGCTGACAGTTGGCATTCCAACCAGTAACATAGCTTGCAAGCCTGCAAACCAACAAACAAAATATGTCAAATAACACTTGAGCAATGAATTCACTTGGCAAACCTAAATTTGAAAAGCTTAGTTCTTTTGAATACCCATCCAAGTGTGAGTTAATTCAGCCCTGAGTGTTATCTTCAGCTGGATATTTAAGTCTACCTTTGAATTTAATGCTAATTAGTACCATAAAAGCTTTACCCAAGGGAACAATGAGTTAGGGGAGGGAGAAAGTCTATTCACTGACCTTGAAGAAATAGAAACTTGAGGAAAACCTCAAACTCTTTGGTTGTGTTTCCTGACAATGACTCCCACATGTTGGCCAAATCAGACGTGGAAAATTGTGACATTTCTCACAGTGTTCCTGGGAATGCGTCTTAGCCAAGGAAAACACACATTTTTACATCTGAAATATCTTACTCTTGTCAGAGTTTAACACAAACCATTGTGGCTGCCTGGACCAAATACAAAAGGCTTGACAATTATTTGTTACATTTCCGCTATTAAGATCTTCAGGGTATGGAATTATTTCTGGTTAACAGAACAATTGGTTTTCCATAAGCTAGCTGGATGCTGATAATGTTGGCTTTATTTGCCCAGTGATACTTTTTCTTTTAAAGAAATTTAATTTACTGTCTTTTACTTACTACAAAAGTAGTATATTCTCGTGTAGAGATCTTGGAAAAACACTGAAAGGTAGAAGAAAGTAAGAGCACCCATAATCACCTGAAAAATAACCGCTGTTAACATGCCAAGGGATTTCTTTCAGTGTTCTCAGTGTTTATAAATATACTTTGTATAGTTTTGGGATGTTTTCTATATATGTTTAGATCTTTGGTCTTCATTCCCTAGAAGCCCAGGGCAGCTATGGCTTGCTTTAGGAGGGGAGGTCAGGGTTATGATGAACAGAGGAAGGGGAGCCGGAGGCCTGCATCCAAAGTAGGTTGCTGAGTGCTTAAGAAATTCATGAAAAACATTTCACTCCTAATGTAGTCGCAAATCTCAGAGTGTTTTGTGACTGGAATCAATTTGACACATAATTAATTTCCTTATGTTGGACAAAGCCCAGCAATTTGAGAAAAATAATATTGCGAAATGCTATTAGATACTATTTATCTTGAAAATGACTGTTCATAGAATAATTATAAATGCATTGAACAGACTTTAGGTAATTTGTAATGGAGCATTTCCTGTGGTTTCATTCCCTGTTTAAAGAGGTGGTTGGGGGGTTCCTGGGTGGCTCAGTCGTTAAGCATCTGCCTTGGGCTCAGGTCATGCTCCCAGGGTCCTGGGATCGAGCCCCTCATTGGGCTCCCTGCTCAGCGGGAAGCCTGCTTCTCCCTCTCCCACTCCCCCTGCTTGTGTTCCTGCTCTTCTGTCTCTCTCTGTCAAATAAATGAAATCTTTAAAAAAAAAAAAAAAAGATAGAAATGTTGGGGTGCCTGGGTGGCTCAGTCGTTAAGCGTCTGCCTTGGGCTCAGGTCATGCTCCAAGGGTCCTGGGATCGAACCCCACATCGGGCTCCCTGCTCCGCGGGAAGCCTGCTTCTCCCTCTCCCACTCCCTCTGCTCGTGTTCCCTCTCTCGCTGTGTCTCTCTCTGTCAAATAAATAAAATCTTTAAAAAAATATATAGGTGGTTGGGTTTTTAAAAAAAAATTTTTTTTAAGGATGAGATCGTGCCATTTGAGACAACATGGATGGACCTAGAGGGTACTGTGCTAAGTGAAATAAGTCAGAATGAGAAAGACAAATACCATAGGATTCCACTCATAAATGGAATCTAAAAAAAAAAAAATAAAGCAGAATCAGATCCGTAAATACAGAGAACAGACTGATGGCTGCCAGAGGGGAGGGGGTGGAGGGATGGGCTCAATGGGTGAAGGGGAGTGGGAGATCCAGGCTTCCAGTTACGGAATGAATAAGTCACGGGGATGAAAGCCACAGCATAGGGAATATAGTCAATGATATCGTAATAGAGATGTAATGGGACAGACGGGAGCTACACCTGTGGTGAGCACAGCATCATGTATCAACTTGTCAATCACTAAGTTGTACACCTGAAACTAGTGTGACATTGTGTGTCAACTATACTCAAATAAAAACAATTTTTTTGCTGTCATTTGCTATGAAAGTAAAAGTAACACAGGTGTGTACAGTGCAATGGAAATACAAACTTTAATCTTGGAAAAAGGTTGAATATTCTGTTTTGTTTTCCCTGGAAGTCATTTTTTATTTGGAAAAATGATAAAGTTTTGGTTATATACATTTTACCACAGTAAAAAAAAGTGAAACCATAGTCAGTGTTTTTTAAACATTAATCATACTAGCCCCCAGCAATAAAATTAATTTCCTATTATAAACATACATATTATTTATTATTATAGCAAAGTAAAGCTGTCACGAGTTTATTAAAATGTTTAGATCTGATTAGCTCTACAATTTAATGGCATGCTAATTTTATAGAAAATCTCGACAATTACTGTCTAAAAGGCTATTTTCTGAAGTTAGACCTGTAGCATAGAATTTAGTTACTATTTCACTTGACTTACACAAAATAGCTGGTTTTTCTCAAACTAAGCAAAATAACTGACATAATTATAAAATAACTAAATGTACTGTAATTCCTTGTTATATCCACTAGCAGAATGGTGGCCCTGTTGATGGGGGATATATTGGCCTCTGATTATGGCCCTCCATACTTACTATGACCATGTTCTGAAATACTCCTAGATTTGTTTGTTTTTTATTTTGATAAAATGTCCTCATATTTTATCCCTTTAGCCATTTTTAAGTGTACACGTTAGTGGCATTGTGTACCCACTGTTGTGCAGCCATCACCACCATCCCTCTCCAGAATTTTGTCAGCCTCCCCAGCTGAAACTCTGTCCCCATGGAACACTGACTCCCTGCAGCCCCCTTCCCCAGCCCTTGGCAGCCACCTTTATACGTGCTGTTTCTGTGAATCTGACTATTCTAGGGACCTCCTATTCATGAAGTCATGCAGTACTTGGCCTTTGAGTCTGGCTGCTTTCACGTCCCAGAAGGTCTTCGGGGTTCACCCATGTTGTAGCACGTGGCAGAATTTCCTTCCATTCAGATTCTGCTGGGTGTGTCTACCGCATTTTGTTGATGCATTCATCCATGGATGGGTATTTGGGTCATTCCCACCTTTCGGCTATTGTGAACAGTACTGCTCTGAGCTCTGGTGTCTAGATACGTGTTCGAGTCCCTGATTTCAGATACTCTCGGGAGTGGACTTGCTGGATCATACGGTAATTCTGTTTAATTTTTTTGAGGAACCAGCATACTGTTTACCACAGTAGGAATTTCACAGTTTACATTCTCACCAGCAGTGCTCAAGGGTTCCAATTTCTCTCTTTCCTTACCAACACTTGTTATTGGCGTTTTTGTTCGGTTTTTGTCTTATCATAGCGATCCTGATGAGTGTGAAGTGACGTCTCATTGTGGTTTTGATTCGCATTTCTGTAAGGATTAGGGATATTGGGCATCTTTTCATATGTTAATGGCCACGTGTATATCTTTGGAGAAATGTCTGTTGGAGTCCTTTACCCATTTTTCAGTGTGTTTGTTGTTGCTGAGTTTGATTTATGTTTGACTGACATGAACACCAGTACACATTCATGTGGCGATGGCAGTGGTGTGTGTGGTGGTCAGGGGTGCGCGTTCAGGGAGGCCCCATGGTAGAGCAGAAAGGACCTATGGCTCTGGACCTACACCTCTGCAATTTACTACTTACATAAACCTGTGCCTCAGACTTCTAATCCATAAGATGGACATCATAAACATCTTCTAGGAAGGGTTGTTGCAAAGATTAAATGAACGAGGTAGTCCCCTGCCTGGGGCCATCAGTACATCTGTTCTCCTTCACCTAGTTGTTGTGTTGTTGCTGTGCTCTCATTCTTTTCGCCTCCCTTCTCTGGAGGACGCAGTGAACCTGGATCTAATCATCCCATTGTTGGACCCGATTGCTTGCAGATTATTTGAACTGGATGATTTTTAGTAGAAACAAAACCTTCAGTGCCACTCGTGGTTGTAACACTTAAACATCACGAGGGAGAAGTGCTGGAGTAAGTAAGGCTGGAACTTTGGGCTGTGTGTGTGTGTGTGTGTTTTGTCTTAGAAGAGTGCTGCGTGTTATTTGATCCTTAAGCTACAGTGTTATTCTTAGATAATAAATTTCAGTATAATAAGGTTTCAAATTTTGAGTCTTTTTTAAGAAATGTTTTTATTTTTTTAGGACATTTTCTATTGTTCTTGTTTTGGATCTTTCAAAACCTAATGACCTTTGGCCCACTATGGAAAATCTGTTGCAAGCCACAAAAAGCCATGTAGATAAAATGATAATGAAACTGGGGAAGACAAATTCTAAAGCAGCGTCTGAAATGAGACAGAAGATACGGAGTAATATGCAGAAGGACCATCCAGTGAGTTGCTGTTGGGATTATTCCTAGAATCCTTAGCCCCATACACAGTTAAAGATAACATCACAAACAGCTTCCTTAGAGTTTTATGCATGATTTGAAATTCATTTGATGTAGATGAACTTGTTCACTGGAAAATTATAGCAATTTAATAAAACCTCAGTGAGAGCAAAACAAGGAAAAAGATTTCTCGTGTCTTCTTGTTAGACATCCACTGTGATTGTTATGGCATATTATACCAATCAAAAGAAATAGTTTGAAGTAGTAGTTTGATACTGATTTTATAATCTCTGTAAAATGAAGATAAAGAACTGGACTGTACAAAAGTCACCTGGCAAATAGCAGATGAAGCTACAAATTTAAGCCACGAGTAGAGTTTTCACAGTCTTATTGTCACCCTGTATTTTATGTTCATTTAGTGTCTGTCACATATTCAATATCTTTTGATCATCTGACAACTAATGAAATTATAAAGTTGCAACGATGGTAACACAAGTCTTTAAATACAACCATGAATATCATTTTCTAGAAAATCTGCACCAGTATCTTACGTTGCCCAGGCTTTATAGGAATGTGTTTTACGTAGGGAATACCAGGATGAAACTGATAGTTTATGGTTCCCATCTGTGCAGTGTGGTTGCTATTGCAACAAAAGAGAATACCAAATAGTAAGTAACAGAAACAGGCAGATGACATGTTATTTAAGAAAATAGGACAGAATATAACAAATAAATATGATAATTTAGGGAATTGCCATGTCTAGTTTTATACTTGAGAAATATAACGTAGTAAGTGAAAGTTAAAAATTGGGACCTTTATGTCAAGCAAACAAAGTCAACATCTATGAAAAGACTAAAATGGTATATTTTTAGAAGTAAATAGAATTTGCTGAATACATAGTACTAAATATAATAATAAAGCAATGAAATATGTTAACAGGATCGTGAATTAGTCGACCCATTTCTAATACCTCTGGTCATAATTGGAAGTAAATACGATATTTTTCAGGTAAGCTTTTCCACTTCTAGTTAAGGTGGTTGTTTATGCATAGCCAGGCTTTATGGGAGAGGAAGAAAAATAATAGTGAAATGAGAAAAATGACTCTGGGAGGGAGAGGTCAAGGAGTCACACATCTTAAAGATTTTGGAAAAGAAGACATAGCGGGGAAAGAGAAAATATGTGAAGAACAATACGTACAGTGGAGTGGGGATAAGGCAGTCGAATGGGGATAAGGCAGATTGAGAAACTGAATCTTTCACCCAGTCACTGAGGGATAGGACTGACTTCCCAACTTTCAAATTGAAGAAAGTAGAAAATTGGTTTCTTCTTATCTTTGCTTGTCAGAGAATCCCTAGGGTATTCCACATTATAAAATGTGTGTTCACATCTAAATTCTATTGAGCTAAGTGTTTAAACAAGAGAAGATCTGATAGCTGTAGTTCTAGAAGGCTTCAGCTACTGTTCAACTCTCTATAGAAACAAATATCAAGGTCATGGAATCCTACTCCTCAGGGTATGTCCCCCCCCCCCAAAAGAAAGAAAGCATGTATTTCTACACTTAGTAATTTGCACCTTCCTGCTACAGATATTTAATTTTCTCAACTTGTTTTTTCTTTTTAAAAATATATTTCGTCAGGATTTTGACTCTGAGAAGAGAAAGGTTATATGCAAGACCCTTCGATTTGTTGCACATTATTATGGAGCATCATTAATGGTTCGTACATTTTCTGTCCTTTGGCTTGAGTGGACACACCAAATTTAGAAAGATTAGCAATTTGATGCACAGTTGTAAATACTACTGTTTTTACTAGTACACATAATCCCTTCCTTCCCTTTCCTGCCGCCCCCAAATCCTCTTGTTAGAGTGTTTGATAATGTATTTCTAGAACGTACTCTGCTAGATGGCAGACCATGTCTTCAGAGCAATTGCTTATATCCATAAACCCCAATCAGAATCTCAAGCAGATTCCCTGCTGAGCATGGAGCCTGACTTGGGGCTCGATCTCATGATCTTGAGATCATAACCCGAGCCAGAATCAAGAGTCAGATGCTCAACTGACTGAGCCACCCAGGCACCCCCAAGCCCCAGTCAGTCTTAAAGAGATAAACTGGTTATTAATTCATTCATTTTAATTTCCCCTTAAGAAAATTAGAATCTGTCTTAAGAGAAAAGAGGGGGGGAAAAACCGCTTTAACAATATGTTCTTTTTTTAAACTTAAAAAAAAAAAAAAACCATTGTTGCAGTTAAAACCATGAACTTGAGAGTCCTGGTGCCTGGGTTCGAATCTCAGGACAGCCATTTACTAGCTGTGTGATCTCAGACAGGCCATGTCATCTCACTCAAGCCCCAGTCTCCTCCAGGGTAAAATGGACAAAACCAGTGCCTTCTTCATAGGGCGGTTGTGAGGATAAGTGAGAGAGTAATGTGATGTGCTCACCACAGGGTCTGAAACAAAGTGTTCCTTAATCAGTGTTGCTAATAACTGTTATCCTTACCTTCCACAGCAGGAACAAAGGATAAAGGATATTCTTAAATGCAATAAAATATAGAAGTACTTTTATTTAAAAGAAATACTATCTTCCCATTTGAGTGGTTTCTTTTTCCTGGTACATGAAAGTGCTCAGAGGAAGCTGGAGACGACACGGTCTAGTCCCTGGCCTTCATGGCTAGGATATTATGACTAAAAGTGATGAATATGATCTATATTTAAATTTTTTTACTTCTGAATACTCCAAATAAATTGCATTGTGTATTTTTCTAAAAATCAGTACCTTTTACATTTATACTGTATCTGCTTATATATTGAATTGACAGAGTGCTTTGGAAATACTTTTTTTTTGACTGTTTCAAAAAGACATGGGGAGTTTAAAATGAATGTATCCAGGATACAGAAGCAAAGACCATGAATCTTGTAGTTTCTTATTTTTACCACAAGATAAAGCCCCACAGTTAGTTCTGGTTACTTAGCTGGGGGAAATCTCTCTCTTTCTTTAGGAACAGATCACATTTGATGATCAGTCGGGGTCTAGTCTGGTCTTACGTGTACAAATTTTAGATCAACCCAGGCAGGTCTAGAAGGTCCTACAAGATCAGGGTCTTCTAGGGAATGGATTTGAGAAAGGCTTCATCTCAGCTTTCAGCAAGCTAGAGGAATGAGAGTTTGAGTTAGAGGAGCCCTTCTGGACCAGGAGAACCATAAAGCTTGTCTAGCTTCCCAGACCAAGAAGAGAGCAGCCAAAGTTACAAAGCCCCTTCTTTTTTTTTTTTTTTAAAGATTTTATTTATTTGAGAGAGAATGAGAGACAGAGAGCATGAGAGGGGGGAGGGTCAGAGGGAGAAGCAGACTCCCCGCCGAGCAGGGAGCCCGATGCGAGACTCGATCCCGGGACTCCAGGATCATGACCTGAGCCGAAGGCAGTCGCTTAACCAACTGAGGCACCCAGGTGCCCCCAAAGCCCCGTCTTTCTGTTTCACCTCCAGTCTTCCCCTACCCCCCATTCAAGAGAGACAGTTCGGGGCTGCTTGACAAGATTGATGGATACTCAACAGTTTTTTAGCCTTTTAGTTGATCCTTTCTAATTCAGTCAAGAAAATGGATTCACTATTATGAGCAATCTAATAAAGTTAATAAAAATAAGAATAGAAGAACTGATAGGGACGCCTGGGTGGCTCAGTCAGTTAAGTGTCTACCTTCAGCTCAGGTCATGATCCCAGGGTCCTGAGATCGAACTTCACGTTGGGCTCTCTGCTCAGTGGGGAGCCTGTGGCTCCCCCTGCTTGCGCTCTGTCAAATAAAATCTTAAACAACAACAAAAAAAGAAAAACATTGATAAGCAGGACCAGATTCAGTGGAGAGCTGCCAGGATGGTATGAGACTTAAAAATGTGATACATGAGGAGGAGTATAAAATTATGTTCTATCATCTAGAATGTGATAATGCTCTTTAAATATTCAGAGGATTGTTCCATGGAAAAAGGATCAGGTATTAGATATTTTTGCTCTCTTAGAGTCAAGAACAAGGAATCAGTAGAGCAGAGTTTAGCTCAAAATAAGAAAGAACTTTCTAATACTACCATTATCTGAAAATGGAATGAGTTGCTTTGGGAGATAATGAGTTCCCACTGAGTTTATCCAAGCAGAAGCTCTACAGCTATTCGTGGAGGATGTTTCAAGGCAGTTGATGCAACAGATGAGGGGGCTGAGTCAGAAAATTTCTCATGTCCTCCCAGCCCTTCTATAAAATACATTTGTGATGAGGTATTTTCCTTTCCACATAGGGAACATAAATAATAGTAATAAAGTGTTTTAAAAATTCATTTAGTTTTTTTATATTTTTAAACTTCTTCAAAAGAAGTTTTAAAAATGTTTCAATTTTGAAAAGTCAGTGTATTAAATTTTATATATTTACAAGAGTAAACACTTTGGGAACCTGTCCTTAATCCAGAATGAATCTTATCCTGAAAATTGATTTCTTTGCCTTATAAAATTACTTTTCATTTTGGTTCAAGGTTGTTTTTCCCACTTTTATACATCTTAGCCATTCTGATTTGGCTGAGAAACTTTTGGTATTTCCAAAAATCAAATCTAGTCTTAAAGGATTTGTAGGATAATCACATGTCCTGATGTTCACCTGAGGTCGTACCCACCCCCTTTCATTCCCTGAAGTCTGGTTATGGTCACCCTCGTTACATACCACCACTGAGAATGTTTAGTAGTTTACTTTGCAAGCTCAAGGGCAATTCTGAAGAGAAGTTAAAAGATCTTTTTAATGAGTATCAGTATTGTTGGATTAGTCTGTAGCTTCCCTGCTGGCTTTTTGGAAGGCAGTAATATGCCCATGGATGGAAAAGTTATTTATGATGTATACCTCCTATTTTCTACCAGCCAGACGGCTTTTGGGAAATAATTATGTTCCATATGTGGGAGTAGCTGAAGTGATTAGTGCATACACACATGTCCCTTTAATATCGTGCACTCAATGTTAAGTTCGAAGAATGAGTTAAAACAAATTTATTGAGATTATTTTCCTTTATTCAGGTTTCTGTCTGCTCAGAATAAATAATCTATGGGCAAATAAATAATAATTCTGTCTGCAGTTTGTTCAAAAGTTCAAAGCCATATTTATTTTACCTGTTTCTGTGATTTAAAAGCAGAGCATATAACTTATTCTGATCTTATTTTTTTAGTTTACCAGTAAATCAGAAGCTCTATTACTAAAAATACGTGGAGTTATCAACCAGTTAGCATTTGGTATTGACAAAAGGTACTGATAAACTATCTTTTTTTTTTTTGCCAATAATAATCTCATCTGATTATTGTTCTCATATAATTATTGTTTCTTCATAAGAAAGTGCCCCCAAATGGTTATTCTTAGGGAAATAGTTTCATATTATTTCCTATTTCTTGTATTGTTTAAATATTTCTAAATTTTATAACTAAAATGTTATGCAACACTTAGTCTGAGACTAGAATAAAATAATGATACTATTACAGCTGTTTCACTGATTTCTTTGACTTCTCTCATGTTAGTAGCTTTCCCTGTATTATCATTTTCTTATATTGATTAGAAATTGAATTGATCGTTGTAGTATGTATATTTTTCTTAACCTTGCTACTTTTCCTGGTTTTCATTTAAAGTAATTTGGGTCTGTCACTTTTTTTCCCCCCCTATAAAACTTTATTAAAATATGCCAGACTTTAATTTTTGAAAAAGCTTAAATAGATATTCACTCATTCATTTGGGGACAGTGCTCTCTCACCAGTGGCTAGATGTAAAACTTGGCTCTTGTATTTACAGTAGAGCATGGCAGGATATTCGATTGCTAAACTAAATTAGACTCTTTTTTCTTCTTATCCATGTAGCAAATCAATATGTGTGGATCAGAATAAACCACTGTTTATCACAGCAGGATTGGATTCTTTAAGTCAAATAGGTTGGTGAACTTATTAAGATTGTTCAATCTTTTTTTAATTGCTTATTGATTTCATCCTACCCCATGTTCACTTCATCTCCAACATACCACCATTTCTGATTTCATTATCATTGCTGTTATTTCTTTTTTTTTTAAAGATTTTATTTATTTGACAGAGAGAGACACAGCGAGAGAGAGAACACAAGCAAGGGGAGTGGGAGAGGGAGAACAGGCTTCCCGCGGAGCAGGGAGCCCGACATGGGGCTCGATCCATGGGGCTCGATCCCAGGACTCTGGGATCACGACCTGAGCCAAAGGCAGACGCTTAACGACTGAGCCACCCAGGCGCCCCCATTGCTGTTATTTCTTATGTATTTATTTGTATACACAGTATTGATGCAACCTGCATCACATTGACATATTTGTGATGGAAGGGATGTTGCCACATAAGAGACGGATTTCAGATCTTTATTTCACTAAAAAATTTTGCACGTATTTCCTTTCCCTCACTGATTTCCAGGTACGTTTAAATTTTAGCTTGTTGGGTTTAGAAGAAAACCAGAAGCACAGAGTGGTCAGGAAGTGAAAGCTATATATTATGGGCAGTGATGAAAAATACGAGATTCAAGTGATGGAATAAACCAAAAAAGAACAGTTGTACTAATTATGTATACTTTAATTCTTCATTATGAAAATAGTTTGCTTCAGATAACTTATTATCTGAATTCAGATTAATTTATTTCCTAAACTTACAGACTTTTAGGCTCATGAAGCAAAAAGAATTTTAAGGGTTTATATAATCAAGCTCCTTATCTTTCCTCAGAAACTACTTTCATTGTGGAGTTTTGGGGCCTAGCAACTCTTTCTACTCGGGGACTGACATAGTTTGGTTTTAACGCTCTAGTAGATAGTAATTTTCTTTTTTATTTCCCGTCCATCATTACTCTTACATGCTAAAGTTGACTGGACTTCAAATGTAGATCTTTGTAATGAGATTACAGATTGAATTGGAATGGAAAGAATAGAGGTGGTTAATGAGTGATCACAAAGACTGGTTTTTATAATTAACACCGACTTAATTTCATTAGCTATGAGAATCACTGTGTGTACTGATAGATAATGCCCCTGTAAGTAGTTGGAGGTCAAAAAAGGAATGAGAGGCGCCTGGGTGGCTCAGTTGGTTAAGCGACTGCCTTCGGCTCAGGTCATGATCCTGGAGTCCCGGGATCAAGTCCCGCATCGGGCTCCCTGCTCGGCAGGGAGTCTGCTTCTCCCTCTCCCACTCCCCGTTTGTGTTCCCTCTCTCGCTGTGTCTTTCTCTGTCAAATAAATAAATAAAATCTTAAAAAAAAAAGGAATGAGAATTACTGAATTTAAAAATCATGGAGCTTAGACCTCATCAAAATTAAAAACTTTTGCTCTTGTAAGTCCATTTGAAAAGGATAAAAAGACATACTACATGCTGGGAGAAAATATTTTCAACTGCATCTCTGACAAAGGACTATTATTATCTAGAATATATAAAGAACTTAACAGTAAAAACAAAATCCTATTAGAAAATAGGCAAAAGACATGAGCAGACATTTCACCAAAGAGGATATACAAATGGAAAAATAAGCATATGAAAAGATGTTTAATATCTTTAATCATTAGGGAAGTGCAAATGGAAACCACAGTGAGCTCATCAGAATAGCTAACCAAAAAAAAGTGACACCACCAAATCCTGGCAAGAATATGGAGAAACTGGATACTCCTACATTGCTGGTAGGAATGTAAAATGATACAGCCACTCTGGAACACAGTTTGACAGCTTTTTATAAAACTAAACATGCACTACCATATGACCTAGAAATTGCATTATTGAGCATTTATCTCAGAGAAATTAAAACTTACGTTCACATAAAAGTCTGTACACAAATGTTCGTGGTGGCTTTTTGTAATAGCCCCAAACTAGAAACAACCAGATGTTGTTTAAAACTCTGTACTATGGTGTGGTATATCCATACCATAGACTACTACTCAGCAATAAAACGGAACAAACTATTGATAACACACAGTAACTTGGATGAATCACCAGGGAATTATACTGAGTGAAAAAAAGCCAATCGGAAAAGGTTATATACACTACGATTCTATTTATGTAAAATTTTTGTGATGAAAAAATTTCAGAAGTGGAGGAAAGATTGATGGTTATCAGAGGTTAGGGACAGGACCGTACGTGGGGAAGTAGGAGAAGAGATTGGGAAGAGGTGCTGTGGGTATAAAAGGGCAAAGCAAGGGATCCTTGAGACAACGGCACTGTGCGGTATCTTGACTGTAGTATGCAGTATCTTGATGGTGGATACATTTACCTACAAAGATGATAAAATTGTATGGAACTTAATACACACAAACGAGGACAAGTAAAAAACTTGGGAGAGCTGAGTAAGATTGGTGGATTGCATCACTGTCTTTCCCACCAGAGTGATAAGGAGGTCCTGAAAGATCAACATTGTAAATGCTAGAATAGAAAGAATGAGAAATCTCAGATTATAGACAATTGCCAGGACGTGGCAGCATTTTTTCAAATTAATTTTCAAATTAAAGTACACAATCAGTACATAGACATTCTCATTATAAAGTGTTAAAATAGGGCATATAAGACTTCCAGACTATTTTCTATACATGTGAATGCGATATAGAAAAAACTACTTGTTTGAACATAATTTTATCATTCTATAGCTATTGTTTTGAAAGTTTCCCTTTCTACTCAATACGTCCTAGCGGTTTTTCCGTATTAATGCTGCAGCTAGGTCTGTTTGGTATTTTGACTGCTGTAGGGTTACAGAGCATGGCTGTGCATAGTAATTTAGTTCACTATACCTTACTGATGGACAGTTTAGTTCTGGCCAGTTTTTCACTAATACAAATGAAATGATGCTGCAGTATGAAATCATTAATACCTGTGTGCAGGTGTTTCTAGATTAAATACCAAAAACTGGGGTTTCTGGGTAATAGCATATAACCTTTTTCCATATTTGCATGGCAGTTAGTGCCAAATTACCCTCTGAATTAGTTGTCCCAATTTGCACTCTAGTGAGTAGCACATGAGAGTGTTTCCTTATAAAATCATAAACACATGAGAATATCAAGCCTGCTATTTTCACCGGGTGGCAGTGTAAGTATGGGGAAAGAGTATCACAATTGACTCATTACTCTGTCTCCTCTTCCTCTGGTGCTAGAATCTGTGGCCTTGCTACACTGGGTTGGGGTAAATTTTAAGAGTGGCTATATTAGGGAGAAGGGAAATGAATGATCTAGGATTTGTATTTTTCTAAGAGTCATCTATTTTATTGAGACAGTTTGTCAAGTTTTAATCAGTGCAGTCATTTGATGTACAATTTCCAATTTTAGGATCTCCTCCTGTTCCTGATAATGACATTGGAAAGCTTCATGCCCATTCACCAATGGAGTTGTGGAAAAAGGTGTATGAAAGGGTCTTTCCACCAAAGGTAAAGATTTCTAATTCTTTTAAAGCAAGAATTTTTTGCATTATTCACCAGTTATTAGGAAATGTTCCAACGAGCCTATTATGATTACTTTGTTTTCTCCTCTCGCATGCTCAAAAATTGTGTGCCAAAAATCTATTGTACACAAGGCACTGTGGGTTTTAAAAGTTGAGCAAGACACAGCTCTTCAAATTCAGCTCCCCAAATTCAGCTCCCAGGCTGCTGGCGAAGTGGGAGACAGCAGCTGGACAGAGAGGGAGGGAGAGGGCCTGGTGGAATCTGAAAAGGGCCTCAGCAGTGATGATAAAACCTCAAAAGACCATAGTCAGTCTGGCTGAGGCAGATGATAGTTGTTGACAGTTTGGGGGTATGGGCATGAAATGACTTGAAGAACTATAATTTCAGAGTATCAACATGCTAAAAGATATCAAGGACCCTGCAAGAGACCCTCAGTATGCTGAAAGTGAAGTTGACGAAATGAGAATTCAGAAGGATCAGGTAGTATCCTCAACATTTATTTTATCTCATCTTGAATTTTATCACAAAATACCTGTAGAGATTCCATAGATTTTTCTCAATGTATTTAATTTTTTTTTTTACTTTCAGAATTATTGAAGGGGCGCCTGGCTGGCTCGGTTGGTAGAATGTGCAACTCTTGATGTTTGGGGTCATGAGTTAGAGCCCCATGCGGGGTGTAGAGATTATTAAAAATAAAATCTTAAAAAAAAAAAAAACTGAAATAATACATCTTTACTATATAAAAAAAAATTCTGATGTGCATGAAGAAGGAATTTAAATCATTCCACCACCCAGAGATGACATAATGTTCACATATCCTCTTTGGGTTTTCCAGTTAACTTTATGTTGAAGATGGGTAGTGATTCTTACCTTGCTGCTGGGGAGACCATTTCACAATATTCTTTTGTCTGTGGGATTATTTAAATGTTTTTGGTTTTTGTTAGAATATTCAGACATACTTAAACTCTTCTTGTACCAGAAAAATTCAGGACTACCAGTCTGAAAGCGTGCAAACACAGGATCTCTCAGGAAAATGGTTGAAAATGGAGACTGTGTTCCACATATGCCCAGCTAGCGCCATTTGCGATAGAAAAGTCTGATGTAAGAATGCAAAAGTTGGCAAATTCATCATGACCCGATACTTAAAATTTTCCCGGATCTCTAAAACGAGACATTGTGCAGAACCCAAATTTACAGCAAGCACTGTAAATTGAGTGCCCCGACAGCCTCTTGGGTGGGGTCTGTAGAGCTGTCACGTGGGCCGTCACGCTGTAGCGAGGGTAAGCCGAACACAGCCATCCACGGGAGTAGGGACTAGGGTATTTTTCTCAGCACTAGCCTTTCACCTTCAGGGGCCCTAGAATAAGAAAACAAAACATCCTATTTAAACATAGTCCAGAAGACTTTTGAAAACTATGTCATGAATATTTAGAGGGTTTTGTTGCTGTAGCAAAGTGAGAGGCATGTTGTAGAAATAGATGGCCTCACATAACCTTTACTATGTGTGCAGCTTAGCTAAAGATTAGTTGGAAGCCATCCCTGAATTAATATTTACCAAGGAGTCAATGACTAACTGCCATTGTTTGATAAGAGTATCTTTATATTGCATAGTGACCCCTTTTATTACACTTATATACACAGGTATTATGAAGGGGCTGGGATATTTTTCAGCATCGTGACTTTTCACATTCAAATCCATCTTCCATTACTGACCTAAAACTGTAGGAATTTGGAGTGGAACTGGAAAGCAACCCCACAATACCTCCCATTCTTCACTATTAACTATTAACACAGCCTATGAAAGAATTCATCTGCATTACATGAAAATCTAGCCAGTTGTCTATAGCTCTTCACATTACCTGTTTTTTTTAGATTATTTATTTGTTTATTTATTTGAGAGACTGAGTGAGTGAGCAGGGGTAGAGGAAGAGGGAGAAACAGACTCCCCACTGAGCAGGGAGCCCGACACGGGGCTGGGGTCCTGGGATCATGACTTGAGCTGAAGGCAGCCTCTTAACCAACTGAGCCACCCAGGTGCCCCTCTTTTTGATCTTTTAATATCATTATTGCCACATAACACATTTCCATAATTACATAAAAGTGTGTCCTTACTTAAAAACAATCTGTAAATGCTTAGAGAAGCCCATACTGTGTGCCATTTGTCTGCATACCTTTAACCCAGATACTTCTGATTCTGGTGCTTCTTGGGAGGACAGATGACGTCCTGTTTCATTAAAATATAATACAGTTGCATTATGAGTGGAGGGCTGGCCCTGAGTCCATCTGAGACTACCTGTGATCCCCCCTCTTGATTCCCTCCCCATCTTCAAGCCCCATTATTAGTGGCTTAAATAATCATCAGGGAAAAAAAAACAAAAAGTTTGGGGCTTTTAAGCTTTGGCAGTGAAATTAGAGCATGTCACTTCTAAGGTGAAGAGGCTCACTCGTGAGTTCCATTCAGTTCCTCCAACTCTGGAGCCATTGAAAAGGCTCAGGTCATACAGAATCACTAGGCAAGAAGGACGTGTCCATCCCTGGGCCCCAGAAGAACTGCATTTGAACCACATTTCTATTCAGTAATTCTTTTGGTGCCATGGAGGCACCAAGCCCCCCAAAATTCTGTAATACCTATTTTAAGTCCTAGGTAGTAAAATGTGTCATTTATGATAGTTTTCCAGATTCCTTGCTCCCCGTCTCCACAGCTGCATGTAGATCCTCACAGGGGACTGAAATTAGTCCTCACATGTTTAAGGATCAGTCTTAAGGCCCCTTTCACCTTTCCTGAAGACTGTCTTTGCTTTATTAGCTCTCTTTTCTCCACTCAGTTCTTTCTTTTGCCAGACTTCACATGGACACCAGAAAATACTTCCTCATAGAGTATCCTGGTTATCTGCAGAATGTGTGAGGTTGACTACTTCTTTGCCAATTCGGATGCCTTTTATTTCTTTTTGTTGTCTGATGGCTGAGGCTAGGACTTCTAGGACTATGTTGAACAGCAGTGGTGAGACTGGACATCCCTGACATATTCCTGACCTTATGGGAAAAGCTCTCACTTTTTTCCCATTGAGAAGGATATTCGCTGTGGGCTTTTCGTAGATGGCTTTTATGATGTTGAGGTATGTATCCTCTATCCCTACACCGTGAAGAGTTTTAATCCAGAAAGGATGCTGTACTTTGTCAAATGCTTTTTCTGCGTCTATTGAGAGGATCATACGGTTCTTGTCCTTTCTTTTACTTATGTAGTGTATCACATTGATTTGCAGATGTTGAACCACCCTTGCAGCCCAGGAATAAATCCCACTTGGACGTGGTGAATAACCCTTTTAATGTACTGTTGGATCCTACTGGCTAGTATCTTGGTGAGAATTTTTCCATCCATGTTCATCAGGGATATTAGTCTGTAATTCTTCTTTTTAGTGGGGTCTTTGGTTTGGGATCAAGGTAATGCTGGCCTCATAGAAAGAGTTTGGAAGTTTTCCTTACATTTCGATTTTTCGAAACAGCTTCAGAAGAATAGGTATGAATTCTTCTTTAAATGTTTGGTAGAATAATTCCCCTGGGAAGCCACATGGCCCTGGACTCTTGTTTGCTGGGAGAATTTTGATTACTTCTTCAATTTTTCTGTTTCTTCCTGGTTCAGTTTTGGTAGTTTTTGTCTATAGGAATTCATCCATTTTTTCCAGATTGCCTAGTTTGTTGGCATATAGTTGCTCATAATATGTTCTTATAATTGTTTGTATTTCTTTGGTGTTGGTTGTGATCTCTTTCATTCATGATTTTATTTGGGTCCTTTATTCTTTTTGATAAGTCTGGCCAGGGTTTTTTCAATCTTATTAGTTCTTTCAAAAAACTAGCTCTTAGTTTCGTTGATCTATTCTACCGTTCTTTTGGTTTCTATTTCATTGATTCTGCTCTACTCTTTATACTCCATGTGGAAAACCCGAAAGACTCCACCCCAAAATTGCTAGAACTCATACAGGAATTCAGCGAAGTGGCAGGATATAAAATCAATGCACAGAAATCAGTTGGGTCTATACACCAGCAATGAGACAGAAGAAAGAGAAATTAAGGAGTTGATCCCAAAGAGGCAAAGGATCTGTACTCAGGAAACTACAGAACACTCATGAAAGAAATTGAGGAAGACACAAAGAAATGGAAAACGTTCCATGCTCATGAATTGGAAGAACAAATACTGTGAAAACGTCTATGCTACTTAGAGCAATCTACACATTCAGTGAAGTCCCTATCAAAAAAAATACCATAAACTTTTTTTCCACAGAACTGAAATCCTAAAATTTGTATGGAACCAGAAAAGGCCCCGAATAGCCAGAGGAATGTTGAAAAAGAAAAGCAAAGCTGGTGGCATCACAATTCCGGACTTCAAGCTCTACTACAAAGCTGTAATCATCAAGACAGTGTGGTACTGGCACAACAAACAGACGCAGAGATCAATGGAACAGAATAGAGAGCCCAGAAATGGACCCTCAATTCTATGGTCAACTAATCTTTGACAAAGCAGGAAAGAATATCCAATGGAAAAAAAAGTCTCTTCCACAAATGGTGTTGGGAAAATTGGACAGCCACATGTAGAAGAATGAAACTGGACCATTTCCTTACACCATATACAAAAATAGACTTAAAATGAGTGAAAGACCTAAATGTGAGACAGGGATCCATCAGAATCCTAGAGGAGAACAGAGGCAGCAACCTCTTCCACCTCGGCCCCATCAACTTCTTCCTAGACACATCGCCAAAGGCAAGGGAAGCAAGGGCAAAATGAACTATTGGGACTTCATCAAGATAAAAAGCTTTTGCACAGCAAAGGAAACAGTCAACAAAACCAAAAGACAACCAACAGAATGGGAGAAGATACTTGCAAATGACATATCAGATAAAGGGCTAGTATCCAAAATCTATAAAGAATTTATCAAACTCAACACCCAAAGAACAATTCAAGAAATGGGCAGAAGACATGAAAAACATTTCTGCAAAGAAGACATCCAAATGGCCAACAGACACATGAAAAAGTGCTCAACATCGCTCGACATCAGGGAACTACAAAGCAAAACCTCAATGAGTTACCACATCACACCAGTTAGAATGGCTAAAATTAACAAGTCAGGAAATGACAGATGTTGGTGCAGATGAGGAGAAAGGGGAACCCTTCTACACTGTTGGTGGGAATGCAAGCTGGTGCAGCCACTCTGGAAAACAGTATGAGGTTCCTCAAAAAGTTGAAAATAGAGCTATCCTACGACCCAGCAATTGCTCTACTGGGTATTTACCCCAAAGATACAAATGTAGTGATCCAAAGGGGCATGTGCACCCCAATGTTTATAGCAGCAATGTCACAATAGCCAAACTATGGAAAGAGTCTAGATGTCCATCAACAGATGAATGGATAAAGAAGATGTGGTATATATATACAATGGAATATTATGCAGCCATCAAAAAATTGAAATCTTGCCATTTGCAACGACATGGATGGAACTGGAGGGTGTTATGCTAAGTGAAATCTGTCAATCAGAGAAAGACAATTATCATATGATCTCACTGATATGTGGAATTTAAGAAACAAGGCAGGGGATCATAGGGGGAGAGAGGAAAAAAATGAAACAAGATGAAACCAGAGAGGGCGACAAACCATAAGAGACTCTTAATCATAGGAAACAAACTGAGGTTTGCTGGAGGGGAGAGGGGTGGAGGGATGGGGTACTGGATGATGGACACTGGGGAAGGTATGTGTTATAATGAGCACTGGGTATTACATAAGACTGATGAATCACAGACCTGTACCCTTGAAACAAATAATACATTATATGTTAATTAATTGAATTTAAATGAAAAAAAATACTGCCTCAGTTTTTGCTAACTTTTAAAAGCCCTCTAGTTTTTTTTTTTAATGATTCTCTTTTTAAAAAAATTCCAGTGTAGTTCACATACAGTGTTGTATTAGTTTCAGGTGTACAATATAGCAATTCACCAATTCTCCACATTACTCAGTGCTCATCATAAGTGTACTCTTAATCCCCATCACCCGTTTTACCCATCCTCCCACCCACCTCCCCTCTGATAACTCTCTGTTTTCCTCTAAAGTTGAATCTGGTTTTTTTCTTTTTTCCTTTCCTCATTTGTTTCTTAAATTACACATATGAGTGAAATCATATGGTAACTGTCTCTGACTTATTTCACTTAACACCCTATAAATTCATTCATGTTGTTGCAAATGGCAAGATCTCATTCTTTTTTATGGCTGAGTAATATTCCATTGTGTGTGTATACCACATCTTTTTTTTATCCCTTCATCTATCAGTGGACACTTAGGTTGCTCCCAAAATTTAAAAAGCCCTCTAGGTTTAAAGCATTCCTGATTTTAAGGGGACATACATATAGAAAGCACTTAGTGAACCCTTCTACCTCTTTTCTATATTTTTATTGCCAAAGAAAGAAAGAAAAAAAAAAAACAAGGAAAAGGTTTGAGTAAACAATATTTTTAAGCTCTTCTTGGCCAGCCACACATACCTATTTTGAATTTGTTTTCAGAAATCAACTTGTCTATAATCCCTGAACCTATAATTTAAACACATAACACACACTGATTTACATGCTTAGGGAAAAATGTTCTTACCGTCCTTTATCGAAGATGCTCTTTCAAGTGTTTTAAGACTGTGGTCCACTTACGATTGAAAACTTTAGAAGTTCTTAAGAGGCAAGGTGGAAACCTTTCTTAGTTTTGCATTCACTTTTAAAATGGCTCTCTAAAGCAACCATGAAGAATTACAGTGTAAAGAAAATCCTCTTGGGATGCCTGGTTTGGCTCAGTCGGTTAAGCATCTGCCTTTGGCTCGGGTCGTGATCCCAGGGTCCTGGGATTGAGTCCTGCATCAGGATCCTTGCTCCGCGGGGAGCCTGCTTCTCCCTCTGCTTGTGCTCTCTCTGTCAAATAAATGTTTAAAAAAAGAAAAAAAATTCCTCTTACTTGCTCTTCCTTTAGAGAATTAAATCATATTATTTTGACTTCCCATGACAGGAGTATTGAAGGTTTAGTGGTCGTGGTGAGTTCGGTATCACATCACTCATCACTCATTCTTTGTGACATGGCCTGTGTGACCAGCCCTGTTCTTCTCTCAGTTTGCTCTCTGCAGAAGGGAGATAAATATCTTTAGCAAAGACTCTCAAAGCAATGTCCTCACCCTTATCATCGGTAAAAATAATACAGTTCTTCCAATTAAAAGCAAGATAACTACTGTTTATTCCTTATGACTTAATAGTCTTTGAAACCCTATATGGTAGATGACTGGTGAACTCAGTTAACTTCATTTTAAGAAAATAAACCAATCTGCAAAGACTACTTTGGAGTTATTATATAAAAACTCTTCCAAAGTCTGTCTTCAGTTTTAAAACTTTGAACATTTAAACTTAAGTAACTTGAGTATAGGTATAAAAGAGACAATCCACAATTTTTCTGAAAATGAGAATGGAATTTTCTTTTCATGGCAACTATGAACTTCAGTTATGTTAGCCAAAGAACAGTGATTGCCTTATCTTGCAGAGTAAACCACTTTCTGCTCATCTGAAATAATATACTTTGTACAGTTATTGAGACACTGAACAACATGTAAGAAGCCAGGAGGTAATCCCCTTTGATAATGCCTTTGCATATGAATCATCTCGTGCAGGGTTTCCACCCATATTAGAATTTTATGAATTGTAAAAGTAACATATACTCATTATGAAAAACAACCCTCAAAAGATATAGAAGTCTATAAAACAAAGTGGAGGCATCCCGTCCTCACTCCAACCTTTTTCTTCTTGTGGCACATATACCACTATTTTTGCTGGCTGCCCATGAAGCCCTTGTGAACGAGCGCTGATGTTAATAACGTCCTTACTGAGAGACAGCCAAGTTGTTTCCAGTCCTGCCCCAGGATACACAGTGAATATCCTTCTATTTATATCCTTGCGCTCTTCTCTCTTATTCTATGAGACACATTTTGAAAGGCACAATCACTGGGTCAAAAGAATATATACATTTTAAGTATTGATAGTTTGACAACTTCAACCCAGTTTTGGCAAGAGTTGAACAGGAAACAAAGATACCACTTTTAAATAAAGTATGGCAATGTATTTTAAGAGTTAAAAGAATTTGTACGTATAAGTATTATATAATTTCATCTTTAAGTGCATTTCTAAGTGTTATTTAGGCTACACAGAAACTCTGAAGACTCTACATTTCTAGAAAATAAATCCTAATTATAAGAATTTACAGAGTAATTGTCAAGAAATTTTGAGGATGGTAATACCATAAAGGATGTACTGTCATACCTAAAAAGTGCTAAGGCAGTTTTAAGGTGCCTAGTTTAATTTTTAAGTTTTTTTCTTAAGTAACACATATTTTTGTTTTAGGAACTGGAACAATACAAAAGAAGTTCTTCCAAGTCTTGGAAACAAATTGAGTTTGATTCTTGAACCTAATTCAACTATAGTGTATTTATTTCTTCTTTCCCAAATACAAGTAAGTTTATTTTATTAATTAGCTATAATGGTAATAAGTGAAGGAAGCTAAGATGTGTAATTTGTTGAAGGAAAAGTGGCCTTTGTTGTATTAGTGCAACTCTCTGGATACTTTTAAGTCTTTTAAAAGGGAAAAAAGTTGTGAGATTACATGCAGTATTTTTTAAAATAAAAAGAATACCTTTCTCTAATAAGTTTAACTAGTGTATACTCAGTTCAGCATTTATAAGTTTCTGCTTATATCATTTCAGGACTATGAAAGCAAGAGCCTCTAGTAACAGTTACCAGTGTGAGTTTAAGCATTTATATTAGACAAATTCCTTCTCGAAGGAGTTCTTGGGTGGGTCACTTTCACAGGTACCATTATTGACTCTCAAACACAGGCACAAGCACCTGAAGAACCTATTTAAAGTGCACATTCTTGGGGCGCCTGGGTGGCTCAGTCCTTACGCGTCTGCCTTCGGCTCAGGTCATGATCCCAGGCTCCTGGGATCGAGCCCCGCATCGGGCTCCCTGCTTGGCGGGAAGCCTCCTTCTCCCTCTCCCACTCCCCCTGCTTGTGTTCCCTCTCTTGCTGCCTCTGTCAAATAAAATCTTTGAAAAAATAAAACAAAATGCACATTCCTGAGTCCCCACACCCAGAGATCCTGAATCAGTGGGTCTGGCATGGGGTACAGTAATCTGCATTTTTAATCAGCATCTCTGATGATTCTGACATACTTATTTTGAGTATAACTTAAGATTTTATTTATTTGACAGAAACACAGCAAGAGAGGGAACACAAGCGGGGGGAGTGTGAGAGGGAGAAGCAGGCTTCCCGTGGAGCAGGGAGCCCGATGTGGGGCTCGATCCCAGGACCCTGTTATCATGACCTGAGGCAAAGGCAGACGCTTAACGACTGAGCCACCCAGGCGCCCCATTGAATATAACTTTTTTTTTTTTAAAGAGGTTATTTATCTGTGAGAGAGAGAGAGAGAGAGAGAGGGAAGGGTAGAGGGAGAAGTAGACTCCCCACTGAGCAGGGAGCCCTATGTGGGACTCGATCTCAGGATCCTGAGAGCGCGAACTGAGCCGAAGGCAGACACTTAACACCTGAGCCACCCAGGCGCCCAGTATAACTTTTTGAAGAACATGTAAATTTAAGGATATATTCTATCAATAAGCAGGCCAAAACTTCATGAATTGGTAATATTGAAAGATCATTTCCAAGGGGAAATAGCTTTTAAGAAGCCTTCTCGATCCTATGAATTTGTGTACCTGCTAGCCAAGTTCAATCTGGAGTAAGCCTAATTGTTGTCATTGACCAAGAAAGTCATTTCTGTGTTCTTCCATTTCCATTACAAAATATGTTCACTCTAATAAACCATACACCCAGCTTCAAATAAGCACACTTACTAAACCCAAGAACACCAAAATTGATGAGTGGTATCTGAGTGGAAAGCAAACTACCTGATCACTGCAATGAAGTAATTAGACTTCATAAACTACTTGGGGCACCTGGGTGGCTCAGTCGTTAAGCGTCTGCCTTCGGCTCAGGTCATGATCTCAGGGTCCTGGGATCGAGCCCCACATCAGGCTCCCTGCTCTGCGGGGAGCCTGCTTCTTCCTCTCCCTCTGCTGCTCCCCCTACTTGTGCTCTATCTCTCTGTCAAATAAATAAAATCTTTAAAAAAAAAAAAGAATGTGGGACATAATTTCAGGGAAAAAAAAAGACTTCATAAACTACTTGCAGTCCATGTGATTCCAGCACTCTTGACAACAGGAGTTTCAGCATGTTTCCAAAGACCCTCAGTCTTAGGTGTAGACAGGCACCCTGCCCAAGTGCCGTGGAGAAAGCGCTCCCCCTTTAAATTAATATTGAAATGTTATAATCTCAGAAACATCCACTGACTGGGAAAGAAACAGCCTATTCCACAGTAGTAACAGAAATTTCTGTTATATAATTTGATTGTCTTACACATCACTGTCCATTTTTTGACTTGAGACAGACTGTCACATGTTGAAAGTCATTGTTTTTCTAAGATGGTATCACTAACATTTAATAGCTTGAAGTCACGTGCTATGTCAATTTTCCAAATGTTTCCGAGCTAGAATGAAATTCATCTGCATATGAATAGTAGAAATGTTTCCACTTACAGTGCATACCCATATCTTTAGTAAGTTGAAATCAGCGATTTCAAAAGAGGTTCCTGTGGGACTCTCTTTGAACTGCTTTAATAGATTATCATCTGCAGAACTGTCTATAACTGATGTGACATATATAATCTGTAAGGCATTATGTAACTATTACACCATAATCATCAGTGTCAGAGACCTTTTATAAAAATTGACAATACTATTCTGGTAATTTGCCAATGTCTCCAGATCCTTAAATACAGTTCTAAGAAATAGAATTTTACTGTGGTTTCCTTAATGAAATGATCTTTTCTGCTATGAGACATTTCAAACGCTATAATTTTTCATTCTTTACAAGTTAGGTCACAGCAACTGAACAAGTTCATGTACTAAGATGTTCTCCCTCAGAGTTACCATGGTAACATTGAGACAGGGTCTTTTCAGACTTGTACGTGAATTACCTGAATATCAGTCAGAAAGATAATCAGTCATTTAGTATAGAACCCATTTTTAATCATCTATATACATCATTTCATCCCTAAAAATATGTAATACAAGTATCTCTATATTTATCAGCATTCTTTCTCTTTACAATTCAAGAACCTGAATTTTGTGTGTGTAACCCGGTTCTTCTTAGTGTAAATACTGTGTCAGCTGAACAGCTTTTCTGTATGGACTTAAATAACCCCTCCTCTCTAGCCTTAAAGATGTCATTTCTCAGTGCATACACTTTATCTAGTAACATTCACTTTTGATTTTATAAGTAAACTAAGTGAAAAGTGGAAAAACAGCAAACTAATCTTTAAAGACATTACCTGAGGTCTGTCTGGTATGCTGTGATCTCAGTTCAGCCCATTCCCGCAGGTTTTCATTTTTATCTCCCAAAAAATCACCAGGTGCTCTGTATCAGGGGTCTTCATCATCCAGCATCTGTCCAACATCCTTTCAGTATGACTGGGTAACTCAGACCCTCATGTGGACATGTACACATAAATGTGGGTTTTTCAATGATAAAGCATTCCCACCCATCCCCCAATTTTGCAGGATGCTTTGCTTCACTCAAACCCACAACTCTTTTTTGTTACTTACAGTCAATAACCAAATTTTCTTTTTAACAAATCTTTTATCAAATGTAAGCATAATTTTGTTTGTAAGCATAATTTAAAAAAAATGTTTTTTATATTTAAGTAGTCTCTACACCCAACGTGGGGCTCGAACTCACAACCCTGAGATCAAGAGTCGCATGCTCCACCAACAGAGCCAGCCAGGTGCCCTGTGAACATTTTTTAACTGACCTATTTTTCTGTGTCTAGAACAAAGAAAACAGTCACACTAGTCTCCCATGACTTTATGAATTACTACTATTTACATTTTTGGACCAGCTCACTCACAGTTTCCAAATAGCACATGTCCCTGCGAGTCGGAATATCATTCAAAGCCTGCATGGATCTGAGGGGCACAGATGGAGTTAAAAGACTTAAGATGTACTATCACGAAACACGTGGCTTTCTTATTTCAGACATTCAAAGTAGTCCTGCACCTCTAGGGCTTAAGGTCATTTTAGCAGCAGTGTTCTTTACTATCTGCTAATGAGATGATCCTTTATTTTAAAAACAACTATTCCTAGGATGACAAGAACTGGGATAAAGGCATACAAAGTCAGGAAGTTTGTTGTGAATCTGGATGTTGCACCCGGGCAGATTATCTCAATGAACTGAATTCCTTGAGTGAAGGCACATATTGGATTAGTTGTCACAGAACCATCTGAGCTGCCTGCAGGGAAGAGATGGACAGTATCAGATATGATGCTTCCCAGGTACTTTCATCAAGTATTTACCAACTGCCCCCTGAGTACCCTTCATCATGAAAGATACAGGACATTTAAGAGACCCTGGAATTCATTTTTAGATGAAACAATAGTGAGTGTTCTGGGTCCTGGCTTCATTTGAAGATTGAAATGGGTTCGTTTCGGGGTGCCTCAATCGTTAAGCGTCTGTCTTCAGCTCAGGTCATGATTCCCGGGTCCTGGGATGGAGCCCCACATCAGGCTCCCTGCTCAGCGGGAAGCCTGCTTCTCCCTCTCCCACTCCCCCTGCTTGTGTTCCTCTCTCGCTGTGTCTCTGTCAAATAAATAAAATCTTAAAAAAAAAAAAATGGGTTTCCATTTGGGGTATAAATTCATTACCATAGTACTGATAAAAATCATGATCACTTATGATCATCTAGTACTGAATATCCTAAGGTTACTGCTATTACCACCTAAAAATATTTAGAACTACTAAATTCTGCCCTTTTCTTTAGTTGCCTTTGTGAAGTGGCTTGGGATTTTCATGGCCAGAAGGACCTTGTTATACTCCCACTGCCTCTCATGGGATTGGGGAACAGACTTTTGCCAAAAGTGGCTTTACTCAGCTATATACTACATACATTTTTAGGGAACAATATGCCACTGCAACCTGCTTCAACCTGTTCTGTTCAGTATGTACAGAAACTGATTCTAGGTGCCTGGGTGGTTCAGTCGGTTAAGCATCCGACTCTTGGTTTCAGCTCAGGTCTTGATCTCACGATCTTGGGGTTGAGCCCTGTGTACGGCTCTGCGCTCAGTCTGCTCTAGGTTCTCTCCTTCTGCCCACCCCCCACTCACATGCAAGCATGCTCTCTCAAATAAATAAAATCTTACAAAAACAAAAAGAGGGGCGCCTGGGTGGCTCAGTCGTTAAGCGTCTGCCTTCGGCTCAGGTCATGATCACAGGGTCCTGGGATCGAGCCCCGCATCGGGCTCCCTGCTCCACGGGAAGCCTGCTTCTCCCTCTCCCACTCCCCCTGCTTGTGTTCCCTCTCTCGCTGTGTCTCTCTCTGTCAAATAAATAAATAAAATTAAAAAAAAAAAAAAACTGATTCTACCCAGAGTATACTAGAACTAGAGTTTACCTTGGTGTACATTAGGTCTATCATTTTTCTTTAAAGATTTTAAGTAATTTCTACCCCCAAACTTACAACCCCAAGATCAGGAGTTGCATGCTCTTCCCACTGAGCCAGCCAGGTGCCCCAGGTCTATTGTTTTCTAAAAACATCAGAGTGGCCTTAAGCTGTTGGCCTTTGACAGGTGACTAACTTGACTTTTATTTTAAAAATCAGAAAAAATGTTAGACTTTTATTTCAAAACAAGGTTTTAAATCTATTTACAGCTTTTACTTAAAAAATAACATTTCCCTCAGGGAACTGCTTCCTCAGAGTAATATGTAAAAAAAAAAAAAAAAAAAAAATTCCAAAATAGAGTACTTACCACAAGTGAAATTCTGTCCATAGAACTCATTGACTATAAGAATCTCAACAGTATTTTTGGAATGTAAAATAACTGAAGATTTTAAAAGGAATGGACATGTCTTCTGTGTTTCTAAGAAAAAAGAGAGTGAGCTGAAATTCAGTAGGCTCTGGTAACAGATCCTACCAGATAAAAAGAAAGGCAACCCTCATTTTATGTTTCCCATTTTGAATATAGTTTTTATCTCTCATTATAAAAATTGTGCTCACTGTGGAAAACAAACAGTACTGAGAAGTACAAAGATACACCACTGCCCAGAAATAACTATGGTTAACATTTTGGTGATATGTGTAACATGTATTGTGTTTATAAAATTTTACGTAAGTGGAATCACTCTTCATGCTCTTTTCTAACCTGCTTTTTTTCAACCAAACATATGTGTCAGGCAGCCTTCCAAATCAGTAAGCATAGCACTCCATCATTTTTAATTATAGCTCGGTGGTCCATTATAGTAGAAATCTTAATTTAACAATCCCCTGATGATGGATTGGTGTCTGATTTTTTTTGATAAGCACCACTGATATAAACATGAAAGAAAACACACCTAACACATCACTTTAGAGGACGATATTTGTGATTAAACAGATTTGAAGGAGCTAGTGTGTGAAGTGAGAATTAACTATGATACAAGGGGAGAGGACGGAGAGAGCAAGCAGGTTTTCGCTGTGAAAATTAACTCTGGAGCGCCTGGGTGGCTCAGATGGTTAAGCATCTGCCTTCGGCTCGGGTCATGATCCCACGTGGGATCGAGTCCCACATCGGGCTCCCTGCTCCTTGGGAGCCTGCTTCTCCCTCTGCCTCTCTCTCTCTCTCTCTGTCTCTCATGAATAAATAAATAAAATCTTAAAAAAAAAAAAAAAAGAACTCTGGGGGCACCTGGGTGGCTCAGTCGGTTAAGCGGCTGCCTTCGGCTCAGGTCATGGTCCTGGGGTCCTGGGATCGAGCCCCACGTCGGGCTCCCAGTTCCGCGGGAAGCCTGCTTCTCCCTCTCCCTCTGCCTGCTTGTGCTCTCTCTCTCTGTCAAATAAATAAAATCTTTAAAAAAAAAAAAAAGGGCGCCTGGGTGGCTCAGTTGGTTAAGTGACTGCCTTCGGCTCAGGTCATGATCCTGGAGTCCCGGGATCGAGTCCCACATCGGGCTCCCTGCTCGGCAGGGAGTCTGCTTCTCCCTCTGACCCTCCTCCCTCTCATGCTCTCTGTCTCTCATTCTCTCTCTCTCAAATAAATAAAAAAAAAAAATCTAAAGAAAGAAAATGAACTCTGTCCCCTCTTCCGTCTTTTTGCTGACCTTATGGCCTCTTCTGTCCACTATATAACTTATATAAATCAACAAATATGTATTAAATTCTATTTGCGAGGCACTAGTTCTAAGCGCTTGAGGAATTCAAAAGAAGTGTCCTACCCCTAGAGAACTCACAATGTAATTGGGGACATAGAATATATATGCTTAAGACTATAAAAATACACAGTGGTAAACGATTTGTGCCAAGTATAATAATCGAGCACCACATGTCCATGACATTCTTGTACTTAGTATTTATGGTTTTTACCTATTCCCATGTGACCCCCCAACCCCATGACTTTCAGTTATTGGCAAAGTTCTAAGGCACAAAATTCAATCCGCCCACTGAGAGGCTGCTAATTGGAAAGGATAGGTAGGAACCTGGGGAAGAAAGAGGGACGAGAAAGGACATTCTAGGAAGGAAGGACAGTATGAGCACAGGCATGTCAAGGACTGCATATGGGACTGAATGGGCCAGAAGGGCTGGAACAGAGGATCTGAAGCTGAGTTTGGAATGACAGCCAAGAACCTGCGTTTTGGACCCTTGCAGCGGGTTGATATTGAAAGATCATAAAATCAGTGTTCTAAGAAAATTAATGTGGCACCAGCAAGTAGAGGGACCATAATAAGGGCAGATTAGGAAAAGCAGAAAAGCAAAAGGGACCCAGTGACAGCAGTAGTTCAAGTATAAGACGACAAAGGCCTGCTACAGGATGATGGCCATGAGAGGCTGGCTGCCTGGCTGGCCAGAAAGTTACCTCCTTGAGGTAGGAACCATGGGCCTTCATCTGGTAGAGCACCACACAGGGTGGAATACTGCACGTAGAGGCTCCACGTGCATTTGTGGTTTGACAGCAAAGAAGAAACCCAAAGAAGATGGTGACTGTTCCAGTGTGAGGGCACATTTTCTGCAAACCTATTTGGTTCAAGGCTGTGGGCCAGCCACTGAGAAGAACTGTAATGGCGAATGAGGCCCAGCTACTGGCCTCCAGAGGCTGCCATCCTTTGAAAAGAAGGCTGCAACAGAAGCAGCCTATGACGGGCTTTCAGAGAGAGCTGAGCTAGCCAAGGGAACAGCAGGCAGGCTTCGTGTGGGTGGCAAAGGGACACAAACAGGTCTGTGAAAGACACGGGGGGACAATAAGGCTACGTCCTAGAAATCCTGGGAGTATTTCAGAGCGGAAGGAACCATAGATCTAAATTTATTGACACGGGACTGTCCACATTATATCGTTAGATGCATACTTAACTCCTTCACAATAGTACAATCTCATTTTCATTAAAGATTACATAAGGGGCACCTGGGTGGCTCAGTCGTTAAGTGGCTGCCTTCGGCTCAGGTCATGATCCCAGGGTCCTGTGTCGGGCCCGTGTCGGGCTCCCTGCTCGGCGGGAAGCCTGCTTCTCCCTCTCCCACTCCCCCTGCTTGTGTTCCCTCTCTCGCTGTATCTGTCAAATAAATAAAATCTTAAAAAAAAAAAAAAAAAAGATTTAGAGTCTAGCAAGATACACAACAAAATTTAACTGAAGGTTGTGAGACTTCAGTAACTTTTACTTTCTTCCTTATACACTTCTGTATTGTGTACAGTTTCTCCCCCAAAGAACTTGCATTATTTTGAAAGTAAAAAGAACAAAGCTATTTCTATTTGTGTTTAAAGGAGGAGGCAGCCAAAAATGCAAATGTTGCAGGCAGGCAGTCAGGAAAGGCGATGACTTGAGGGAAGAATGTGAACTTTATGACTGGGAGGTTGATGTGGCTGGCCCCTGAAGAGAAGAGTTTCAATTCAGTGATGGGAGTGGAATCCAGGTGAAGCCTGGATGTTGAGGTTTTGCAAAAAACCCAGGAGCCTCTGGTAATGCGGGCCACTGCCTCTCTTTTCAGAACAATGAATCCCCTTTTTCTACAAACCAAATATACAAAATAGTGCCAGACTGACTGGAACAGGTAATGATTCAAACATTCAAGAGGAGATCCTGCCCAATGCTGGATCTGTACCTTGCTGGCTTGATTTGATTTGTGCATTTTTTATAGATGCTAACAATCACTTAAGCAACACAAATACAATGTAATAACGGTGTCATAAACATAGTCCTCAACTGATCAAAACCAGCTCACTTTGCTTTATAACTCACTACAGCTTATGAAGTGCTTTCCTGTTGATTATCTCATTTGCTTCTCCTGTTCCCTTGAGGCAGGTGGGACTGAGATCACGAGCTCCATTTTATAAATGAGGAAACTAATTTAGATAGAAAAGTGATTTGCCTGTGGTCATGTGGCAGATAAGTGGTAGAGGAAGTCTCTGACTCCTGGGTCAGTCCTCTTTCCAGGGAGCTGCGTGCGGCCTGGGTCTTCACAGTGGCTTGACTATAGTAAAGTCAAGTCCAAGCTGAGTTTTCTTACCCAAACATGGATTGCTCTGAGAGTTAAATAAATATATAAATATAATTACATATAGCGGATGCTCTGGAGTTTTAAATCAAAGAACCAGCCACCTTCACATTTCCTCAGGGACCCACAGAGTACTTCTAGATCCCGCTCACATCACCTGCCTGCGACCACTTGTCACCCTTCTAAAATTTTCCACCCTTTCAGCTACTGCTTTTTTAAAATATATGTATGTGTGTATATATATGTTTTTTCTTGCTTATAAAGTGCTATATTATAAAAATTCGCAAAACAAAGGAAAATATGAAGAAAAAATTAAAATAAATTATTACCCATAGATAATTACAGTTAACATTTAATGTGTGTTGTCCTTCCAGTCCTGATATTTTCTTGGTCAGTCTTTTATCATGCAAGCTCTTATCTGACTGTTCTTACTTCCTAAAAAAAACTGGGAATTGAGAACCAGAATAGAGACACTCCACAGTGCCAGGGCAGGAATGAATTAAATGCATGCTATTTACCTTGTAATAATAGGTTGTTTTTCCAGAGGATGGATTGGTTTTCCTCCTGTTACTACATGTGACTCATATGAATAACATGCCTAAATTGTCATTTCCTGATTTTCAGTGTGAAGACATTTTACTGAACAAATGGTAAACAGATCTAAATAATGATAAGCAAGCACTAGAAACACTCCAGACCATAAGGTAATACATACCTTTAGCCAGTATCACATAGCTCTCCTCTGCAATTTCTCTCTTAATTTCTTGTTACCGAGTGATCATTAACCACAAATCATCAATGAAAATCCTTTGAATTGTCGTATCTTACCTTACTAATCCAGATCCCACAAGTATCCCAGCAATGCAGAGCAGAGCCACAATGCTGTTGACCACATTTGGGTTTTGGACCATACCAAGTAGCGCAAGAGTTAGAAATTCACCAATTAAGTGGGGGGCCAAGAGAGCAGCAGAGAAATATCCAAATCTGGCAACCTCAGGATATAAGCCCAGAGTCCTAGAAAAACATAAGGTCTTTAGTTTCCTCTCCAAGGATTATTTAAGAATACCACACGTGCCTTCTATGAATAAATCCATGGTGGTCAGTGGGTGGGAAGAGTTTGCAGGGTAAGCCCAACTCCCCTTTGAAAGGCCTTTTCGGAACAGAGCCAAACTTTGAGACCATTCATTAGCACAAATTGTTTCTGTTGGCTCCAATTTAGTGTGCCACCATTTCGCTTTTACAGTTCCTTCAGTTCTCAGAGGAAAATATTAACGCTTGGGGCGCCTAGATGGCTCAGTCGTTAAGTGTCTGCCTTCGGCTCAGGTCATGATCCCGGGGTCCTGGGATCGAGCCCCGCGGCGGGCTCCCTGCTCAGCGGGAAGCCTGCTTCTCCCTCTCCCACTCCCCCTGCTTGTGTTCTCTCTCTCACTGTCTCTCTGTCAAATAAATAAAATCTTTAAAAAGAAAAAAGATTAAAAAAAAATATTAACGCTTGAACAGTGGTCACAACCGGGGCAATTAGTAGAGTGGTTGAACTCGCCAGGCTTCTCCATAAATAACCACGTTCTGCCTAGCTGGCACTGCCCCTACCCTAGCTAGCCTACTCCCCCAGTGCTAAGGGCTCGCTCAGCCTGCTTCTCTGCTCCTCCATCCCCGTTATGTGGGGTTGCTGCCAGCGTGTAAACCCTTCACTGCCGCCATCCTCTGGTGAATTAGCCCTCCCAGGTCTGTCCATTCCATTCTTGTCTTTTATTCTACCAGCCCCTTCCATTGATTTGATCTTCATTTTCTTGTAAACAGACCTCCCTACATCCATGCCCCTTAACTCTTATATTCCTTCCACTAAATACACTTCCCTGGTGATAGCATGTCCTCAACAACCATTAGACATGGTTGCTCTTTCTTCCATTTGTAGAGTAAGGAAAAGGGAGTTGGCATGTCTTCTATGCAAAGCTCCTGACCACTCTCCAAGGCCATCTATCTTTCCTCTTATACAAATCATGAAGTTTGCTTGTACTATTAATTCTCTTTCCCAGTGCAATCCTGGGATTCTCTCACCTTTGATGATTTTAGAGCATCTGGACCATGGTCAGCATTCCTGTCCACTATCATTATCCTCAAGGTCTTTTTAACCTTCCTGATCAGTCATCAACATCAGTGCCTCCTAATTAGGTAACCTGATCAGTTCCATTGGCTCCACCCACCTAATCTTCATCATTCACCAAATCTTGGACTTAAATGTTACTCAGAACTCTTCCTCTTTCCCAAGATTTCAGATTCTGAAAGTGCTCTCTCTGATCATGGCGTCCCTCCTGTCTCCTGTTTCCCCAAACCCCAAGCTGTCTCAGGTCCTTACCCCCTTCTGCTATTCCTTGCTTTTACCAATCCCCACACCTTGGGAGCCCTGTTCTTTCACTTAAGTTCTCTCCCTGAAGGTGTGCTGAACAGAGCATATTACTGTACTAATCAGATCCACTCTGCCTCACCTGACTTCTAGACCCCTAATTTTTTCTCATTGCTTATTGGGCTCCAATGGCCTGTCCCTCATGTCTAATATATACCTCTGCTTTAAATTACCCTCTCCCAGGGGCGCCTGGGTGGCTCAGATGGTTAAGCGTCTGCCTTCGGCTCAGGTCATGATCCCAGGGTCCTGGAATCGAGTCCCGCATCGGGCTCTCTGCTCCTTGGGAGCCTGCTTCTCCCTCTGCCTCTCTCTGTCTCTCGTGAATAAATAAATAAAAATCTTAAAAAATAATAATAATAAATAATAAATAAATAAATTACCCTCTCCCCAATATCAAACTCTCTCCCCAGTGCTCAGTAGATGGATTCATTTCCCATTTTATGAATTTCTCGCTATCTTTATCTTCCCTAACTTTTCATCTTCCATGTCTTGTGCTCATTCTCTCTCTCGCTCGCTCTCTCTCTTTTCCCCCTATCTTTGCCAAGTGGATCCTACCTACTTGCTCCTTGATTTTATGTTATCCTGATTCACCTATCCCTACCCTGCACTACCCTGGAAACTTGATCTGTGAATTATTCTCTTTTGCTATAGTTTCATCAACTCTCAATCTAATGGTTTTTCCTGACGGTCTTATTTACCATATCCTAAAACATCCATTCCCTGAGCCTGAGAACCATGTGAGCCATTGCCTTCTCGTCATCCTACCCTATACCGCCAAGCTTCTCAAGCAGCATCTGCTTCTTCCCTCTCCCTCCTTACTTGTTCCCTTGTGAATCTGACTTGCACGCCACCACTCTACTGAAGCTCCTTTTGGGAAGACTGCCAAAGACCTCCTAATCTGATGCCTCATCTCTGTGAAGCTCTGCAATATGAATGGATATTAACTACACCTCCTTGAAATGCTCTCCTCCCCCAGCTTCTCTGATGCTGCCTGGTTCTGCTTCTCCTTCTCCCTGTCTGACCACCACCTCTGCTTCTGCCATTGGATCACTTTCCTCTTCCCACCCTCCAAATGTGCCTCCTGAGGTTTACACTCAGACTGCTTCCTCCCCTTCCAGTACTCTCTCCTATAAAATCCATTCCCAGGCCTTTAGCCCCTCACTCTTTTTCTTTCTGCTGCAACCCACCACTCAAACCTCAGATTGACATGTCCAGTCGGGTGTCCTGTAGCATGCTAGATGCAACGTGTTCAAATCCGTTCTCTTCCCTGGCAAACCTGATAATGATGTTGTCACCATCCCACTCCCTTAGGTGGAAAACTCAGGCATCATCCGTGACTTTACGACCAACAAATCCCCTCAGTTTCTGAGCCCATTCGATTCTACTTTCCCAGCATTTCAAAGTGCTCGCCCCCTTTTGTTGCCACTGCTGCTCTCTCCGTTTGGGCCTCTGCCTTTCCCATAGACTGTTGCCAAGGCTCCTCACTAGGCTGTCCGCTATCTCTGCCCTAACTCCAGTCTGCTGCCAAGGTGTGCCAGCCTCACCCTCCAGAGTCCAACACAGATGGGCCACTCCCTGGTTCAAAATCCCCTCCTATGTCCCATTAAGGGACATTTCAGCCCCTTAGCCTGGCATTCCACACCTCCCCCACTCGAGGGGCCAGTCATATCCTTCACTACTGCTTCCAATCCTTCATTTCCACAGCACAACTGAACCTTTTCTCTGGAAAGGTCTTACGTGTTTTTGCTCCTGAACTTACGCCCTTGCTCCCTTTTCTATCCATTGGAATGATGCTCATCTCTCAAGTTGTTCTCTCAACCAAATGGGCTCTTGTTCTCCTTTGTAATTAACTGGGATAATGGATGTGAGATGGGGAAGATAGTTACCCCATCTGTACTTCAGTTTGCTCCTTTACAAACAAGGATGATTATAGCACCACCTTTATAGGTGATGATTGCCATCGCCCTCAGTGGGGAGCCCACCCCCCTGCTTACTCGGAGCAAGTGGTTCTGCCTCTGTCACTCTCCAGAATGATACCAACTTCTAACCACCTACACCAAGACCTTCCCACTCTTCATCTGGGAGCTCAAACTTACTAGACCCTGGTTTGTCTTTTACTTATGTATTACTTAGTTCATAATAATTATTCATATTATGTACCATGGGTCTGTATACTGGCTATGTCAGGAGCACCTGCTCATGAATCCCACGGCCTGAAGAAAGACAGCATCCCAAGCACTGCCTGAAGTTCTCCTTGGACGACAAGCTGGGCACGACTGCACTACTAGAGTCACAGAATACCAGGTACTACCCCCATCTTAGGGGAAAGCCATGGGAATTAGGGAAGCTACTTCTCCCTATGATGACAGATCATGCAGATAAGTACACGTTTTCGGATTTATATTTTTGAAAAGTTCTAAGAAACAAAAAGCAGCACTGTCTATACACCATCGCTCAAAACCTAAGAGCATCAGGGATGCTTCGTGGTGCCCCAGTGCCTCTTCCCGCAGCCCCTCTCCCATTGCTCAAGCCCCCTCACGCCTGCCTGTGATGTCACAGGCAGGTTGCCGCTCCAGCTGACAGGAGCCCAGGAGCCATGCTTCATTGAGATTCGGCAGCTCCTTGCTGCCTCTGCACCTGGATCCCAACGACTTCAGGGCAATCTTCCCTGCCCAGACCCTGCAGAGTATGTGAGACATGCCAGTCCCTGGCACCATGTAGTCCTGCGGGTCTGCTCTCAGGTCCCATGTGGCCCTGGCTGGGTTCTTTTATTTGTCCGGAAGCACAGGACATTGTACTGGGCACTGATGGGCAAAGACAGACCCCCAGGGCCAAGAAGAGGGAGCTCCCCTCCATCAGTCCCACTGGCCATGTGGAACTTGCCAGGAGGACTGAACACCTCTGAACAGCCCCTTACCAGTAGCACACACTGCTGCATGTCACGGTGGCAAGGACAGTGAAGGGGAGCACGTGCAGCACGTGGGCCAGCAGCATCTGCCACTTCCGGGGTAAGGCGTCTTGGCTCTCCTGGTTGCTGACAGCTCGCAGCACAGGAACCGGGCACAGAGGCAGGTTTCAGAATAGCCGGTCACCACACAGCTAAGGGCAGGAGGGCTAGCCCAAACTGAACTTGAGTTCCGTCAGGGCTGGGTGGTGGGGACCAGCTGGGGCTCCCTAGTCATGGAAAGAGGGAACCTGCTATCCACAGAACTCTCTATCTGAATTACAGTATGGTTGCAAAAGCTGTCAAAATTTATTTCCTCCTCTCTCAAGTCAGGGGAGCGTTGTCACAAATTAAAGAACACATGTGCAAAAGGGCCATGAATGATGTAAGGTAGTTTGTCCTCTTTTTGTGCAGGGTCTTGGCACAGAACATCAGGCAACTAGGTATTGCTTCTGGATTCTCAAGAGTTTGAAAATTAGGTGCTAGCTGTCCTAAAATTGGCTCCAAAAAGAATAGTGCAAAGTTGGCAGGTATCTGGGCCCCTGGGGCTGCACATCCTAATGGTGAAGATGGGAATACCAAGAATGATCTTTTAAAAAACCCTTCCCAAACCCTGCCCCATCAGCAGCTCCTAACTCCATGTTTCCCTGGATCCTTAGACCCTCAGGGAGATCTACTTGGTGAACTAATTCACACTAAGATGTTAGTAACTCAGTAGTTAACCCTTCCCCAGGGAGAGAATCTGGAGAAGGCCAAGTTTAGCTCAGCAAAGTAGTCTTATAATGATGGAGTCTTGCAAGATGCCGGCTGGAGAAGGGCGATAATCAGGAAGAGAGGAAGTGCCCTCCCCGCCCCCGGGGTGCACCTCCTGGGCATGGGCACTCACACAGATTCACAGCGTTGAGCATGCCTGTGTATGGGGTGGCACCCACAAGCTGGTATAGGAGCCCCACGCGGTCCTGGACAGCACCCTTCAGCACATCGTTCTGGACCCACAGAAGATAGAAGATGAGGAACAAACCCATGATCAGATTCTGAACGAGACGCATCATCACCGCCAGCTTATTTCTCATTAAGTTCCTCGTCACTCTCCTGAAAGCCAAACAACCCTGTTTTAATTCTTTTTCTTTTATTGGTGGATGTCTAACCACCTAAAATGGGTGAAGCTCTTACCTTAAGAGAACACCCAGTTTAGAGAGAGCTCCAGGAGAATCTTTGGTTTTGAAAGGAACCATTGGTAATGTTTTCAAGTGTTTTGTTCTTTCAATGTTCTCCCAAGGTTTTGCGATAAATTGCTGATTCTTTGTAGGCAGATTCAATCATCTGAACTCTCTTGTAGGTTTCTATTTCCCGTTCTTTGCTTTGGGTATCCACTGATATCAGGTCCACTAATTTTTTTTCCCAAAAGAAATGACCCATGTGTTTTTAAATGCATATATATGCATAATAGCTAATAATACATGTTTCATCATTGATTCAGGAGTACTAGCTAATGCCTCATCCCATCAGAATAACACCTGGTGATCATGCCCACCTATAAAATCAGAATATTTTAAAGCTACCAGCAAGGCCTTGAGAATTCAACTGGGGCTGTCCGGGAGGATTTAGAAACTCAGCTGATTTTTCTCTGACAAAGTGGACATGCAGCAATTTAAGAGAGGTCCCCCACCTCATTCTGATAGGTCATCTATGGCAAGTTAACTGACCCGGCCAAATTAACTCCTTAAAGAGTGAAATCACCAAAACAAAAGCAAGAATAAAATCCACTAGTGCTGTTGACATCTAGGCAGAAATCTGAGATGATAAAATTGAATGAACATTCACGATGGGAAATGTGGAAAAAAAACTTACTATAAATGTCAAAAGGGTTTGAATGTTCGGGACAAGGGTAACTGCAGCCACTGAAGAAATCAAGCATTTCCGCTGGTGTTCCACAGAAAACCAGCTCTCCGTAGCTCAGAATGGCAATTTTATCAAAGAGCTGATGAGAAAATCGATGGCATTAGTGTGTATCAGGTCACCATATCCTCTGGAGAATAAATTTCCAAGCAGTCAGTCCCTGTTGATCCCAGCCATGCATCAGGATTCTTACTGTGGCCACTGGAGACACACAGAGCATGTCCCTATTTTTCTTAGCCTGCGTTGCCAGTGTGCATCGTGCTGCATCTGGCCTGGGCCCAGCATCACATCTGGAGTGGAAAAGAACTCCTGGACCTGGCCTGTAGTCCTGGGTTTGATCAAGGACCAGCCATGCTCCTGAGTGAATGACCTTGGACTAGATGTTTATTTAATCTCAGATCCTTAACTCAATTTTGCATCATTTCTAAGTCTCCCTCTTTTCTGTAAAGTGACAATACTGATACCCACCTCATAGGATTGTTGTGTGGACTAAATGAACTAGTGCATAGAAAGTATTTGGTACATGGCAGGTGCCCTTCCCATATCAGGACCTATTGGCCCCAAGGGCCCTGGTTGACAAGTACTAATCTCTACCTCACGATCCCCAGCTCAACACATACATCTACCCACCCTTGACGAGTTAAGCAGGAACAAGATTCCCCCTCACCTGGAAGAGCTCGGAGCGTGGCTGGTGGATGGTGACAATCACAACGCGGTCCCTGTGAGCCAGCTCTGCCAGGAGGACAACGATCTGATTTGCTGTCATGCAGTCCAGGCCTGTGGTAGGCTCATCAAACAGCATGACCTCTGCAGGCAAGGAAGGGTCGGGTTTCTGAGTCACTGACAAGACTGGGCTATGGACTCTAAACTCAGAATTTTGAACAGTTCCTTATGGAGATGTCTTAACCCATCCCATCTTGCCCTATCCAAACAGTGCACCGTGAGAAGTACCTGCATGTAAACTGGCTTTCAGCCGGAGCCCAAGCGAAGGAGCCTGACCTCAGAGGACCCACCTCCCAGTTCCAGAGCACATCTTGGCCTTAATCCTTGAGGGGAGAGGGCTGCTACAAGATACTATGGACTGTTTGGGCTCTGCCCAGAGGACCATGACAAAGAACAAGGGCTGGCTAGTGGGCACCAAGTTGTTTTCAAAAGGCTGAGAAGAGGCTGGTTAAAAAAACATAACCTCACTTCATGTGGAGCATTTTCCAACACTAACAGGGTCTTTGCACGGCAAAAAAACTCTGTCCCATAAAACAGTCTGAGCTGGGATAGGCATTTAGATTCTTTAGAGGGTTCCACTGTGGTTATTTCTACCCAGAAGGTGAGAAGGGCTCTTAAGAGCATCTCTCTTCTTTGCCTTCTAGTGACCAACCACCATCTGAAGAGCAGGCAGTCGTAGTGTGCCCCAGTGGGGAATCCAGGTGCAGCACGTTCTTTTCCAGGTGCTTGTAAGAGCTGAGATTTCCCCAGTGGTGGGGAGAACGACCAAACCCGGCAGGAGAGGCAGGTGACTGGCTACCCCATCTTGATAGCTCCTCCCTCCAAAATACACACTTTTTTGTGTATCATTCAAAGTCCTGCTTTAATTCCTGCCATTTCTTAAAGTTCTAGGCACACCAAAACTCATTGGCTTTCCATAGCCCCCACAATGCAGTGTTTCCAAGTCCAAGAGCTGTTTTGTACTTGGAGAGAATAGCATCAGGAACTATGTAGTATTTCCAAAGAAACTGGGTCCCCAGTTTGAAAAACCTCAGTAATGTCAGTTCCACACAAACCCCTTTCCAAATGGAGACTGTAAAAAAAAAAAGAAAATGTCTGCAGACACATGGAAGATGCCCAGGTAGCAGTTCTGGGACCCACTTACTGGGATCCTGGAGGAGCTGGGCTGCGATGGAGACCCGGCACCGCTCGCCACTGGAAATCCCCCCAAGGCTGTAGCTGCCAATCAATCTGCCACGTGGCTCAGACTCAGCTCCACCATGACTGCGTCCACCTGAAGGAGACACAAAGTCCAGGAAGGCTGGTCACTGCTGGACTGCTGCCCCAATTCATGGAGTGCAGATGGCATGGGAGAGGCAGCATGCTTCCCTTGAGTGCTCAGGCCACTTTCAGACTCACCATACCCTAGGGAGAACATGCCTATTAACGATAAAACCCAATTTGGTCTAAGTCATAATATAATACATGTGTCAGGTTAAAATAAATAACTGTTTTTCAAAAGTCTCTAGAGCAACAAAAACTATATTTGTTTCAGGGAAATTCACCAGGACAATGGAGAGGTCATTGGACTCCTATTTTCAGATGCTGCATTAAGTCCAGCACACAGAAAAAGCCCCTTAAGGCATAGGTACAATACAGGTGTTTTTTTTTTTAAGTGTTCGGTTTTTGAAATTTTATTATAAGTGTTTTATATGTAAAAAAAAAAAAAAAAAAGTCCAATTTGGTTTGAATGAATCTTGGCTACCCTTATATAACCCAAATAAGTCCTGGAGTCCTGTGTGGTCCAATCTCAGTGTGATTTTGCATCAAATATAATCCAGCTACCAAAATAATTAAAAACAATGCCAATCTTGGGCGCCTGGGTGGCTCAGTTGGTTAAGCGACTGCCTTCGGCTCAGGTCATGATCCTGGAGTCCCGGGATCCAGTCCCACATCGGGCTCCCTGCTCAGCGGGGGGTCTGCTTCTCCCTTTGCCCTCTTCCCTCTCATGCTGTCTCTCATTTTCTCTCTCTCAAATAAATAAATAAAATATTAAAAAAAAAAAAAAAAAACAATGCCAATCTTTATTTGACTCTCTGAAAACTTCCCAGGAGGCCCAGTTTATAACCTGCAGCCACACTTAATGTCCTGTCCCCCACTTCTCCTCACTTTATTTATCTTAGACTCTGCCACTCCCTGAAACCATCTCCTTACTCCTCCTCCTCCCTCAACTCCCCCACAACAGTAACAACTAGAAAAGTTCTTTACTGACTTTCTAATCAAGAAAGTTGGCCTTTCCCTTCCCCTCCTTTCCTTCATCAGCTTAGCCTATCTCCAGAGGCCTTTTCAAAAATCTCTCCTTCTGGCCCTGCCTTGCTGATTACCCTTATCTGCATAGGGCCCTGAGGAAAGGCACTAGAAACAGACTGAAAATACTTATATATATGGTAATGAGTTTCATTTCCATATACCTCTAATGAGATTGTGTTACTTTATAATGAAAAAAGAAACAAAACACTGCCTTAAAAAATAACAACAAATAGGCTGAAGTAAAAGAGGGGATATCTGTGGAACAAAGTTCCAGTGGAGCCAAGGGGTGGAATCAGCAGCATGGGTGAAGGTTTGACTAAAAGAAGGACACATCTGAAATAGATCCAAAGGAGTAACAAGGTTAAAAATGTATAAATAAACCAGTATGATTTATTCTGGAAAAAAGAGGGTTCTCCTTTTGTCATCAGAATAGAAGGATTCTGGAATTGAGTTTTGCTTGACATGGCCAGGCTGGGGTGCTCGCCAGCCAGGGCAGATTCCTGAGCATCCCTTTCATCTGCTCTGCAACAGCAAGAAAGGAATAAAGCTTGCCCCTCCAGGCTCAGAAGGGATGGACAGAGAAGACATGTATTTAACCTGTTTCAATGTCCCATGCTCTTTCCCAAAGCCTCTCCCATGTTTAGCAAACACTATTGGGATTGCAATTCACAGTGTCTTAGAAGGAACCCTTGGGATCCTTGGGATGCACTGGGATCATCAACCTCTATGCTGTATGTTCTCAGATAAACTGACTCATTCCTCACATCAACTCCAGGAGAGATACATTATTAAACAGATCCTCAGAGATGTGCATAACTTGCCCAAGGTCACACTATTAGCAAGTGGCAGAGATGGGACTGAGAGAACTGTCTGGGTTCTCTCAAGTGGTCCATGAAGCTCAATGATTAGCCAACAGTCCAGCAGACACAGCCTGCCCATGTCAAGCACAGCTTTATGTTCAGGTTCCTCAGAGGAGAGAGATGCTGTGCTCTGTCCTCTACTATCACCACCACCTCCCTCTCACTAAATTACTTTGTCAGGATTTTACACCCTGTGGACTGGATTTGCTCAGAAAGTACTTTCAAGCAGGGAGAACTTTTGCAGGACTTTTAGGGACTGCCAGTACCAGAGGAACATTTACCAGAGGGAAAATTTTTTTTAAGTTTTACTTATTTGACAGAAAGAGCACAAGCAGGGGGAGCGGCAGAGGGAGAGGGAGAAGCAGGGAGCCCGATGTGGGACTCGATCCTAGGACCCCAGAATCATGACCTGAGCCAAAGGCAGGCGCTTAATGGACTGAGCCACCCAGATGCCTCCAGGGGGAAAATTTTTGCCATCAATCGATTTCAAGGCATCCATGAATTTTCTGAATATTTATGCAAACATGTGCATTTTGTGGGGAAGAGCTCGGTGGCTTTCTTAGGTTTATTCTCTCAATGGGATATGTGATATAAGTGGATCACCAACTCAGAAAAATCTGTTTATGACCACATTTCTGCCACCCAAATACCAATAGGATCTTCTCCTGCCCTTTTTAGAGACAGAAATACTAAAGCAAGCAGAGAGAGTCTGCAGATGGACTCCTCTGTCACTCACCATCAGGGCTACCCAGTCGTGTGAACATGCCTGTGCTCAGTGTGGGCTGAACTTGACCTCCATCTTCTCTCATCACAATGGGGCTCAGGAGATCCCAGGAGCCCAGGGAGTCATGATGGTGCTAGAGGGCCTGGGTTCACATTCCAGCTCTGCCCTTCCCAACTGTCTGATCTTAATCTTGTGTGTCAGAAGATAATACCTCTGACAGAAAGGGCACAAGCAGGGGGAGCGGCAAGGGATGATGCCAAGGATGCGGCGAAATACTGTGTGTGAACAAAGCCTGACTGATGCCAGCCGGCTATGAGAGTTCAGAGTACAGGCACACCTTGTTTCATTGCACTTCACTTTACTGCACTTCACAGCGCATTTTCTACAAACTGATGGTCTGTGGCAACCCTGTGTCAAGCAAGTCTACTCGCACCATTTTCCCAACAGCATTTGCTCACTTCGTGTCTGTGTCAGTAAAGTATTTTTAAATTAAGATAAGTATATTGGTTTTTTTTTTTAGACACAATGCTACTGTACACCCAAAAGACTGGAGTATTAGTGTAAACATAACTTATATGCACTGGAAAACCAAAAAACTCATTTGACTCTGTTTATTTTGATATTTGCTTTATTGCAGTGGTCTGGAACCAAACCTGTAGTATCTCCGAGGTATGCCTGTATATCCCAGTTGCATAGTAACAGCCTTGCAATGCCTTCTGAGCACTCTAAGGTAGCCTCCAGGAAGGAAAGAGCGCTAGGCATCACTGTGAGGCTGATGGTCCTTCTTAAGGGCCACGCTCCTTGCTAAGACTCCTCTGGAGTAAAAGCTATCCTTCAGCACTGTCTAGGACTCTCAAACAGAAGAATGACCTTTACTCACCTGGACATTATCATCAAACTAATCTTCTGGTACTTGGGACACAGCTTAGACCTAATTTCACTCTCCAAGCCCTGTCTGAAAAGTCCAATGCCAGGGACAGATTGAGCAAGTCCCTGGTGACAGACTCAGCAATGCCTGATAAAAATGGTGTACCCTCAGCTGATATGGAGGATTTCCTTGGGGCCTCAATGGCATGAAAGAAGGCCAGCCCTGGAGCCTGAGCTGCAGATACAATTTGCGTGCCCAGGAGGAACCTCACTGTGGCTTTGCTGAAGCCTCTGAGGCAGATGTTGCCGGTCTCTTCTGGTGGCTCTGAGGGCCTATTTCCCAGGGAACTGTTCCTGCTTTGTAGGTGGCAAACCTATGTATCCTTAGTTCCCTGTTTCCAGTCCAGACAGAAATAAGGCAACATTTCCAGGTAAGGTCCCCATGGGCTTACCTATGACTACTTCCAAATTAGATACATTTAAAGGAATAGATTGAAACCTCGAAAGAGTAGACAAGTCAATAATTCTTTCCTTCATTAACTTAATCTAGTTTGGATGAGGCACATTCAAAATGCCTCAAAGAAAGTTGAGAAAAGTCTCAACAGGGCAAAGTATAGTGAGGAAAACAACCATTTTTATTCAAAAACAGTCCCTAAACCAGCGCCATCCAGTAGAAATATAATGTAAGCCACATTTTAGAAACAAGTTTAATTAATTTTAACATATTTAACCCAGTGCAGCCAAAACACTACTATTTCAACCTGTAACCAATATTTTATTTTATTTTATTTATTTTTTAATATTTTATTTATTTATTTGACAGAGAGAGACACAGCGAGAGAGGGAACACAAGCAGGGGGAGTGGGAGAGGGAGAAGCAGGCCTCCCACAGAGCAGGAAGCCCGATGCGGGGCTCGATCCCAGGACCCTGGGATCATGATCTGAGCCGAAGGCAGACGCTTAACGACTGAGCCACCCAGGCGCCCCTGTAACCAATATTTTAAAAATTAATAAGATACTACACATTCTGTGTTTTCAGACTAAGTTTCTAAAATTCTGCATTTCCCATTCATAGCACATCTCAGTTAGGCCTGGCCACGTGTCAAGTGCTCAAAGCCACAGGTGACCAGTGGCTGCCGTACTGGACAGCACAGGTCTAGACTAAAGGGATGAGGAATGAAGGGGGAATGGGCAAGCGGAGGGAAGGGAGGTGCGAAGCCCCCGCCGGGCGGCCCCCTGAGGAACAGGGCCGCAGGAGGCCCACGGCTACCCACCTTCCTCTGGAAGACGCCCAGCCAGCAGTGCCGTGAAGCGCAGTGTCTCATGCACAGTCAGCTTGCTCAGCAGTGTGTCGCTCTGCGGGAGAGGGAGGCGGGAGGCATCAGTGTGACCAGGCCGAGACCAGGCCGTGGGCGGCTGGGGCAGGGGCCCGGGAAGTGCCCACCTGCTGGACATAGGAGAAGCAGTCCTGGAACTGCTCCCTGTGCAGTGGCCGGCCGTTCACAACCACCTCCCCGAGGAAGGTCCCCGTGCGCCGCAGCCTCCTGGACATGGCATCCAGCAGCGTGGTTTTCCCCAAGCTTGTGAGACAAGAAAACAAGGCCCGAGAGGACTCCTTCCATGAGGCATTGCTGGGCTGTCCCCAGACCCTTGGTGTACCCTTGGTGTAGCACCAACTTGCTCTCTCCATAACGCCCTGGGTCAGACTCTCATGGTACCAATGAGTCTTTCCAGCTTGTCTCCTGAGTCATAGAGGGACAAGCCATTTCTTTCATCCCAGTCAGGACTGGAGGGGCTTTGTCTGCCTGTTTATGGGCTTTTACAGCTGTTTTGAGTTGAAAAAGAAAATACAGGATCAGAATAAAAAGAAAACCTAGGCAGTTTGGATCTAGGACATCTGAATTCCTTTCTGAACCCGCCCCCCAGGGGTCATCTGGTGGTTCCTCAAAGTAGGGGACACTACCTAGAGCCTTGATATGAAGTGTGATCTGAAGACCAGCAACATCACCTGAGCACTTGCTAGAAATGCAGAATATCTCAGGCCCTGGCCCCCTGAATCACATTCTGCTACCAAGATCCCTAGGTAATTCCCATGCATATCAGAGTCTGAGAAGCACTAGCCTCACAAGTCCTTTAGTAAAATCAAGTTGGCCTCAGCCTGCACTGAGAGCCTTGGGCATGACCCAGCTGGTTGTTGCTAAGAGCTTTCCCCTGGTTTGGTTTTTCTCTGGTTAGAAGTTAGGTGATACCATTAGGATAAAGCACCAGCCAGCCCCTTCTGCTCATAGTGGACATAAACCTACATGAGCCCAGAGAGTCAACGGAGACAGGAACCAGCATCACCAGGCTCCTAAGAGGTTAGATTAACAGAGGAAATAAGCAGAAGGTTCTGAACTGTCTGAAAAGATAGCAAGAGAATTCTACCAAGGATATGATGACTTGTGCAAAACCAAAGAGATCTTTTGTACAAATATTATAAAGAAACTGCCTGTTGCCATGAGGGGTACAAAGAATAAGCCAAGCTCCTATAGCAGTTGTCTTCTTATCTAACCCATGGCTGACCAAGCTCAGAGTTAGCTCCAGCATCTTCAATAGAGGTCAGGGTGGGAAGAGAGGAGAGGGACTGTAAAGAAACGAAATGGGGGGGTGGGGAATGAAAGGTGACATCATTTGAGTTGTCTTTCAAAACATGTTCTGAAATTTCCCAGTCATGATCCTAGGCCTTTTACGCCTTGCCTTCTGTTTCTGGGATCCAATCTCCACTCTGACAAAAGCTACAAATATCCTGGAGCCTGGATCACATCACAACATCAAAACTGACCTCCCTGAGGTCATCGAGGTTGCTTCCTTGTTGCCATATCTGGTGGGCACCTTCCTGTGTGCTGACCTCTCAGCGGTCTTTATACTATTGCTTGCCTTTCTCTGTAAATCTCCATCCCCTGGCTTTGATGCTACTTCATCCTCTTGGTTTAATCCTGCTCGTCTGGCTGCTCCTTCCCAGCCTCCTCTGGGTGACATTCAGGGTTCTCTCTTGGGCCTTCTGCTTCTCATGTGACACATTCTCACTGAGCAACAGCAAGCACCAACCTGCTAGCCAGCATGCAAGGGAGCCTCCCTGGAAGAAGATTTTCTAGCCCTGCTCAAGCCTTCAGATGACTGCAGCCCAGCAGACTTCGGACTACAACCTCATGAGAACCCCCGACAGAACTACCCAACAAAGTCACTTCCAAATTTCTGACTCATAGAAACCCTGAGAGAGAATAATAAGTTTTATTGTTTTAAGCCACTTAGTTCTGGGATACTTTTTACATAGAAATTTGTTTACTCAACTCATTAATGAAAGGACTAGCAGAGTAAAAAAGTTCATTCAAAAAAAGAATAGAAGGAAAAAAAGGACACAAGAAACTAATATGTATAATCAGTAGAAAATAAAAGGTCAGAATAAGATGCAAAATTAGACATAGAAATAGTTAAAGCCCTAGAATATGACACCAAAGATACAGGTAACAAGAGAAAAAATAGACAAATTGAAAGTTTTAAAATTTTGTGCCTCAAAAGAAACTATCCCCAGGGATGCCTGGCTGGCTCAGTTGGAGGAGCGTGTGACTCCTGATCTTGGGGTCATGAGTTTGAGCCCCACACTGGGTGTAGAGATTACTTAAATAAACTTTTTTAAAAAAGACACTATCCCCAGTGTAAAAAGGCAACCCACAGGATGCGGAAATATTTGCAAATCACATATCTGATAACGGATTAATATCCAGAATATACAGAGAGCTTCTAAAATTCAACAACAAAAAACCAATGAACTCAATTCAAGATTGGGCAAAGGACTTAGACATTTCTCCAAAGAAGATATATGAATAGCCAATAAGCACATAAATCACCATCACTAAGCCTTAGGGAACTGCAAATTAAAACTGGAATGAGGGTGCCTGGGTGGCTCAGTTGGTTAAGCGTCTGCCTTCGGCTCAGTTCATGATTCCAGAGTCCTGGGATGGAGCCCTACATCGGGCTCCCTGCTCATAGCAGGGAGTCTGCTTCGCCCTCTGCCCACCCCTCTCATGCGTGTGTACTCTCTTTCTCAAATATAAATAACATCTTTAAAAAGAGAGAGACATAAAACTGCAATGAGATAATACCTTGCACCCTTTAGGATTGCTACTATCAAAAAATTGGAAAATAACAAGTGTTGGCAAGGATGTGGAGAAATTGGAATCCTTGTGCACTATGGGTGGGAATATAAAATGGTATAGCCACTGTGAAAAACAGTACAGAGGTTCCTCAAAAACTTAAAAACAGAATTACCATATGACCCAGCAATTACACTTCTTCGTAAATACCCTAAAGAATTGAAAACAAGGTTTCAAACAGATTATTTGTCCACCCATCTTCATTTCATTATTCACAATAGCTAAAATGTGGAAGCAACTCAGGTGTCCATTAATGGGTGAATAGATAAGCAAATATGGTATATATATCAATGGAATATCATTCAGCTTTAAAAGGGAAAGTCTGACACAGGCTACAACATGGATGAAACTTGAGGACGTTATGGTAAGTGAAATAAGCCAGCCACAAAAAAGACAAAATATGATTCCACTTATGTGAGGTAGTTAGAGTAGTCAAAATCATAGAGACAGAAAGTATAATGGTGGGGCTGGGGGCAAGGGGATTGGGGCATTATTGCTTAATCAGTGTAGAGTTTCAGTTTTACAAGATGAAGAGCTAGGGGGATGGATGGTGGAGAGGGTTGTACAACAACGTGAATGTATTTATTATTACTGAACTGTACACTTAAAAATCGTTAAGATGGTAAGTTTGACGTGTATTTTACTGCAATAAAAAAAGAAAACAAAAGGTTAATGCCCTACCGGGCAATAAAACCAGGACCTTTGGGGTTATCTTCCCTTAGGACAGAAATTTTAACTAAATAGGCCTCTGCAAGGGAGAAAGCAGCCCAGAGTCTAGGTCCCAATTGACAGCAAATATTGAGTTAAATATAGTTACTCTCCCCTGGAGTGTTGGGTGACCCTAGGCAGACTTGCATTATACCATTTTGTCATGAGACTTTAAACACCTAAGTCTTCTTTTGCCTCAGTGATAACGATTTCAGAAACAGTCCTGTGTTAGATGAAGTCATCGTTTTGTGAAACACTAGCAGTAATTCATAGAACTGATTTGTTTACTCAGTGATTCAACAAATATTTACTAAGTACCTACTATGTGGCCAGCCCTGTTGAGACTACAGCAGGGAAAAAACAAAACAAAGATAAAGCTCCCACCCCGGGGGAACTTGCAGTCTCCTGTGAATCCATGGTCAGTATATAAAATGATAGATGTTGTCATAAAGCCATGATTAGGTATCATCAGAAACCAGCCCATGAGCTCCCAGATCAAGGCCTCCCACCCACTGTCCTGAGATGTGCATGAAGCGTGACACTGGCTTATGGGACACCTTTCTGAGATGAGTTCATTCTTTTTTTTTTTTTTTAAAGATTTTATTTATTTATTTGAGAGAGAGAATGAGATAGAGCATGAGAGGAGGGAGGGTCAGAGGGAGAAGCAGACTCCCCGCTGAGCAGGGAGCCCGATGCAGGACTCAATCCAGGGACTCCAGGATCATGACCTGAGCCGAAGGCAGTCGCTTAACCAACTGAGCCACCCAGGCGCCCCTGAGATGAGTTCATTCTTTATTGTGTGCAATATAACCACCCTAATCCTACAGAAGGCAGGCAACAAACAATAAATTATAGGAAGAACTCAGCTTTTCCTCTTCTTAAAGAAAAATATAATTATCAAAAGGAAAATTAGAATGGCCCTGGATATTAGAAATGGTTTGGGGCACCTGGGTGGCTCAGTCGGTTAAATGTCCAACTTGTGGTTTTGGCTCAGGTCACGATCTCAGGGTCATGAGATTGAAGCCCCTGTTGGGCTCTAAGCTCAGAGGGAAGTCTGCTTGAGAGTCTCTCCTTCTGCCCCACCCCCAACCAAATAAAAATCTTAAAAAAAAAGAAAAGGTTAAAAATTGGAAATAGGAACAGACAGGAAATCTCAGCAAAATATAACAGTTTTAGTCAATGAATTCCTTCTCCTTTAATCTTAATGCTACTATTGTTACCCAGTATTTACCTGCTGTAGCAGGGGAATGGCTATGGATTTCAACTCCCCAGATCAAATGAGGCTGTCCGTGCTTGACTTTTGTCACAGACTTGCATTACCCGTTGCTATTCAAGAGAGTAACGCAAGCGTGTAGTGCCCATAAATGTCAACAATGTCAGTGCAAGCAAGGACTCAACCAGGACGCTCCTCTGAAGCCAATCTGTGAGAATCTTTCATCTTTAAATTGTGTAAGATAACCTAGTGTAGCGGACCCTGTGGTGTCCACACAGAGCCCCTCATCAGACTCAATGCACCTATCCTCCAGCTGAGGACTCACAGCTGCGGTCCCCACGGGGCATTGCCCTCAGACATAAGAGGCTGCCTCTCTGGAGGCTAGACCTTCCCAGGACAATGACTGGCTGATGCAGGGGCACAAAGACAAACCGTGATTCAGCCTCAAGTGTAGATATCCCAGGAAAGAGGAGGAGAAGGTGGGAAATGGGCACACAGACGGCCTCAGTGGAGTCTGCAATACTTAATTCCTTAAAAACAAAAGGATCTGAAGCAAATATGGTATAATGTTAAGATTTGACAAAGCCTTACAGGGTATGTTAAGATTTGACAAAGCCTTACAGGGTATGTTTACTACTTGAATTTTTTTTTTTTTTAAGATTTTTTATTTATTTGAGAGTGAGCAAGAGAGAGAGAGAGCACAAGCGGGGTGAGGGGCAGAGGGAGAAGCAGGCTCTCTGCTGAGCAGGGAGCCCGATGCAGGGCTCAATCCCAGGACCCTGGGATCATGACCCAAGCCGAAGGCAGACACTTAACTGACCGAGCCACCCAGGCACCCCTAAGTTGAATTTAAATAAAAAATTTGTCAAAAGATTTGATAAAACCAGATATTAATATGTAAATATTCTTTATATTATTTGCTATTCTTGCCTATTTGAAATACATAATTTTTTTTAATAATGAATATGGGACTAAATGAGCATGCACCCTTGTGCTTACTTAATTCCTTGTCCTGCCTCTTGGCAGGGGACAGATCAGGGGAATTGTGTTTACTGAGCAACCCTACATGCCAGGCACCATGCTCAGTACTTTCCATACTTTGAAATAGGAATTAACTGACATATTAGGCAGGACTTTATTCTTTTCTAAGGATCTCTCTGAAGGCTTCACATTAGTACCAGATTCCATTCAGTAAGACATGTCATTCGATTTCATTCTAGCATCAAACTTGTAGCTTTCTTGCTACAACTTAAACCTATTTCCTCAATGTTCAAAGCAAGCCAAAGCCTTTTCTGAATGTTCATTGAGAATGTAAATTTAAAGTACTCCTTCCCAAGCTTACCTGAGCTCCCTAAGATGCACATGACCTGCCCGCTCTCTATGCACAAGGAGACATCTTTGAGGATCTGCCTGTCCCACTGCTGCCGGCAAGATGTGAAGTCCCACCAGGGCCCAGCTTGGTGGCTTTAAAGGAAAGGGAGTGCGGTGTTCCAGAAGGGACCAGACCCTTGTCCCCCAGCACTGATCCCAGTTGTCTCTGGACAGGTTCCTAAATATGCTTGAGGCTCAGTGTCCTTCTCTGTAGACACTGGCAGGTAGTGACCGAGAAAGATCATCTCTGTAAAGCCCCTGCCCAGGAGCTGCTCTGAATGCCAGCTCTCTTTGGTTGTGTGGGAGATAAACAGGACACTGTTTATTCCTTCAGTTGATCCTGCATTCCTTCACCAGGCTTCATTACACTTCGTGTTGCCCCAAGCCCTCTCCATCCCCATGGTGCAGGCTGTACGCAAGGCGGACACAACAGGAAGGGATTAAGGGGCACAAAGCAGAGCACAGCTACCTATCATAGCTTCCAAGTCTTCCCATGGGCAAAAGGGGGGCCATTCGCCACTGCTCCTCATCTACCACTGGCAGCCCTTCCCCTCTCCTCTCTCCACCTTGATCCACTAAGGAGGGAGCCCAAAGCCTCCACATATGGCCCTCATTAGCGAGGAAAGGCAGCAGAGACCCACTCACCTCGGATCATGACCACAACTCAAACAAAGCCCAGCTCCAAGTTCCCAGGAGGCAAAAGAGGCATGGCCTTACCTGATACTGTAGGAGACATGGAGAGTGCCCAGGCTGTGTCGAGGCTTTGAAGCAGCTGCAGGAACCTCCTCTGGGGAGCTCTGGGGGCCTCTGTTTACTTGGATCCCCAAGGACCCCACAGGGGTCAAAGATGGGAATTCACTCATGGCCAAGACACAGCAGACACAGGCGAACTTTGGGGTGCTGGACTCTCCCTGGAGGGGCCTCAGGAGAGGAGCCGGCAGCACACTCCCCCGCGGGCTTCTCCCCAGGCCCTGCAGTCCCTCCGCAGACCTTCCTAGCGGCGGGACTGGGGTTTGGCCACGGATGCCATTATCTGATGTACCTGTACCCAGAGCGTGTGTGCTAACTTGGCAGTGGGCAGACGCACAGCCTGTGGTTTATAGGAGGGCTTGCCTGGGAGGAGTGCCAGGAGAGGGGCGCAGTGAACCAGGGTCAGAGATTGCCCAGCTCTGAGAAAGACAAAACACTGGTGCTGTCTGGTAGCAGCTAAGGGGAAAGGAAGCTGCAGCAAAGCGGCACAGACACTGCTGGGCCCCATGGCTGAGGCGGCCTCGGAGGAGAGAGGACTGTGGAACGGGGCTGCTCCCCAGGATGCCTCTGTGAGTGATGGGCCGTCACCTCGGTCATGGGCGGTGGGAGTGAATGGGACCTTTCTTTCCTCCCTCAGGATCTTTCTGTTTTAACTCATGGCCAGGACCACAGAGGGAGAATATGGCCGCAGGACTCTCTTCCCTGGGCATCAAAGGGCTGAGGGGAAGGGATTCAGGGAACAGGGGCGGGTAGGGGGCCTGTGAGGTCACTTCTGCACGAAGGCACACTCCTACAGGGAAATGACATTCCTGTTTGTGACTTAGGCTGATGTAGCTTTTTCTGAAGGAGACTGCAAAGCAGAAATGTGTTCACATACACTGGGGACTCTGCAGTGCCTCCTTCATCTGTGTGTCTGTCAAGCTCAGAGTCTCAGACGCAGTAAACCGATGAGATAGGATGGCAGGCAACTTTTATAGGAACATCAGAATTTACGTGCAAAACATGGCTACAGCAGGCAGACATAAGACCCTAGAGAGAGCTGGAAGGTACAGACAGCAGCCAGGGGGTCGAGAGATTGGGGCAGAAGGTCTCCACCCTTATCTTACATGAGAAATGTTTACTTGAGAAATGGCCTTTGGCTAAAATCAGGGTGTGGGTGGGATTTGAAGCAGGAGGCTAAACTGGAAGACAGAAAGGAAGCAGAGCCCACCCTCTATCCCCACCTCACCCCAGCACACCTTGCGTCTTTGCCTGCCATGGAGAGGAGGGAGAGAAAAGACAAGAAGGTCTGAGGACTCCACACCCAAAAGAGAAGGCCACAGGCCACCTAGTCTGGCCCTGAGTTGCTAGGACAGGACTACAGCTCAGCCCATTCCTAGTCCACTCTGTAGCCATGACAAATAGCCACTTCTGATGTGGGAATACAGCCAGTCCTTGCCAAGAAATGACTCCTAGGAGCTGTGACTGCAGTGCTCATAGCCTGAGTAAGATATAAAGTTAGCAGTGGCTATGGGGACACTTTCTGCCGAAAAGGTCTGACAATTCAGCCACCACAGCATGGGATACAAATAACTGCCCAAATCCAACATCCATTTCCAATTTCCATTTCTCCAATTCTTTACTCAAGGTTCCAAGTGACAATCTTCCCCCAACATTTAAGGCATCTGGAACAAGAGAATGAGGGCTACATATCTTATGTCTAGAGGTTTTAAAATTATCACTCAAGCTAAGAACTGTAAAATGGTTTTTATCTTCTTGATATACCTTCTGCACGACCTGAAAGGCCAGGTGTAAATTCAGAAATTCCAGGATCTTTTGGAGCAGCAGCCAGAATGTGGTGGCACAGGGGAGCCAGCTTCCAGCCCAAGCCACAGCCTATCCCCCTTCTCTGCCCAACCCTGGCCCCACGCACGACTCACACAGCCCTATGTGGTCATGCCATCCTGCCTACCCACATTCCATTCACACTCCACAGACAAATGCCCCTCTGGCCTGGGGCGCCTGGAGTGGCAAGCGCCCTTGGCCCACAGACTCCTCAGTCCATGGGCAGAAGCACAGCCAGAGGAGGACAAGGGGGGTCCAGTCCTCAGGGCAAAGATGTGTGAGACCTGGCCTGACCATTTTAGTAAAGGCCCAGGCTCATCCTCCCAGCCAGGAACAAACCCTGCGTGTTTCTGCCAGGCACTGAGTCCTCAGTGCGTCGCAACTCAAGGGCAAGGATTCCCCATTTTAGAATAAGGAACTTGGGCTCCATGCTCCCTGAGTTCCCTTCTAATCTATGCTTCTGACTCAGGAATTTGATCAGAAGTTAATACAAGGAGAAATTACAATGTAGCCCAGCAGGAGCCAAGCAGGTTACCTACAAATAAACCTGCTTTTGCTTTTTTCGGTGTCACCTGTCAGAAATTCAAGTGATGTTCTGACAGTCGTACTGATTAAGATGTCAGCTGAATAGATATTTAAGTATTTGAAAAATACAGAGAATTTGTCAAAACCTCAGGAAGAGTCTAACAAATCCTTCCTGGGAGCCAAGGAAATATTTCAAAATGGAACAGAGGCCATCCCCAACCCAGCAATGAATTCTCTTCCTCTGAAAGTCGCCCTGCCTGTGCAGCTCCAGAAAGGTAGTCCCTAGACAGCAAATGAGGTCCCTGGCTTGCCTGTGCCTGACTACTTAGCCTGGGGGAGGGGTACTGCCCAACCCCCCAGGAACAGGGAGCACCTCTCTCCTTTTATCTGTCTCCCCATTCTGACACCTCTTTCCCCACAGCCCCAGCACCCTCCACCTTTTCAAAGCACTTATCTGGAAAGTGGAATCCACTTGGGCATGAGGTCACCTGCACGTAATACTCCAGACCCCAAAATGTCTGACCTCCTTTCCTAAGGCACCCCTCCACCTGAAATCTAACCTGGGTAGCTTTTGGCCAGGTCTTTGTTCACAGAAACAATTTCTGAGCTAACTCATATCTTATACCAATTGACTTAATATCCACCCTACAGACATTTACTTTTTTATAAACAAACAGGATGCATGTTAGCCCAAATGAGTCTCTCAATAATTGCTAGAATTTCTGATAGTTTAACGGAATTAAATGGAAAAACTAGGCAGTGTGAGTGCTGGTGGTGGAAGTGGTAAGGTCAGGTGCAGAACTGATGTGCCTGGAATACAGCACCTTTCTTAGCTGCCCTGGATCTCCCCCAGGAGAGAGCTCCTTCTCCACCTCTGAGAGCACAGGCCCTGGGTCCTGCTCCATCTCCATGGCCGGCTCCTGCCTTGGAGGCACTGGCAACTGAGGCGCAAGGTAGAAGTATTCTGGAGTTGTACTCGTGGGCTCCCTCTCTCACTTGGAAAACGTATTTTGAATTATTTCAGACAGATTAGTTTATAGAGTAGCGAACTCTCATGTACACACCACTAATTACCAAGAGCTCTGAAGCTTGCTCCCCTTGCCTTCCCCTGTAACCTTCTCTCTTGTATTCCTCTGTTCCCCAGATTGCCCTGCTGCTAAATGAGGTGTTCATCTTTCCCAGGTTTTTCTGTATAATTTAGGATCTTTATGGTAACAGTTCTAACATCAGACAAGGTAAGTAGCTATGGTCTGCTGTTTCCATACTGCCCTGAACTCTGGGGACTACTCACAGCTGCTGCTGCAGACTGTCACCTGTATTGACTTCCCTCCTCTCCCATGGGGCTGGAACATCCTGTCTGAGGACCTCGGACCTCCACCACTACAGGAAGTTTGACAGAGACTTTTGGATGTTATTTTCACATAAGTCATAAGTCATTTTATTTTCACACAAAGCACAGGTAGGCACAGTGTACACAGTGTAAATATACCCTGAATGGATGCTTGAGGTCAGCCTGCCTCTACACCTGGCCTGTCACACTCCATCCTAACCACCTATGCCATTCATTAAGACCTACACTTCTTTGCATGGTGACAGATGGTAACTAGCTGTATTGTAGTGACCACTTTGCAGTGTACACAAGTATTGAATTGTTGTGTTGTCTACCTGAACTAATATGATGTTATATACCAATTTTACCTCAATAAAAAAATCTAAGCTGCTCAGAAACCACCTTTGTCACATCCCAAACTCCAAGCCCGAAGAGTGACGTGCGCTCCAAGTACTGGATGCTTGCTTGCTTGACTGAAGGAACACATCAGTGTGAGAAGAGCAGCTCTGGGGGAAAAGATCAGAATCAACTGGAACTTATTAATAAATACACTTTTTCATGCACTAAGAAATAAAAGAAAAATGTATTTAAAAATGGAAATCTTACTAGGCAGGTTCTTCTTTTTTGGGGCCTCAATGATTTAAAGGATTGAACTGATAAAACAGAAGGAATTCGGATCTGCTGATGGTTAATACCAAAGGTATCAGTTGATACCATGAAACACTGATTTTTTTGATGTACAAATATAGCATCACTCCAACAACAACAAGATGATGACAATGAGGACTATGACAATGAGAGGGACTTCCTCTGAAATCTCCCAACAGCATTTTGAATGGCTTTGCTGTGCAAAACTCATTAGAATAAGATGCAACTTTTCCAAGGATGGTGTCTTCCAAATATTGAGCATTAGCTTTTTTTTTTTTTTTTAGGATTTTATTTATTTTTTAGAGAGAGAGCGAGAGAGAAACAGCATGAGAGGGGCGAGGGTCAGAGGGAGAAGCAGGCTCCCCGCTGAGCCGGGAGCCCGATATGGGACTCGACCCCAGGACCCTGGGATCATGACCTGAGCCGAAAGCAGACGCTTAACCATCTGAGCCACCCAGGCGCCCGAGCATTAGCTTTTTGATAGTTATTTCCTCTCACACGCCAGGTACATGGAGTCTCTTTGGCATTAGAAGATAGTAAGCCAGAGACAGGGAAGAGAAAAGTTAAGGCCACCCCCACCTCAGGTGTCCCCAGAGCACAGAAGCTCACAAGCTCTCTCCAGTCCGGAGTCTGGGTCTTGTCCACCATAGGCTGCCTGGGTCCAGGCTCCATCAATCTGAGATTGAGTTTTCTGGAGTCAGGAGCTGTGCTGGAGGGAAGCCCTAAAGCTCACTCTGCAGGGAAGGAAAGATTTGCCCTCACGAATGCTCGTATTTGCTCAGAGCCCTTGGGCTCCACCTACCCAAACCCATGTCTTTCCAATTCTGGATCTCAACCACACTAGCTGCTGCTCTCACCTCTTGGGTCTCCTCCCTATTTTCTCTTAAGTGCTCAGCAGCTTTTGAAGGAGCCCCTCACCTGTCATGTTTGCCAGCAGGGCCTCCAGGACAGCTTGTTCTCCTCCAAAAGTGACAACAGCCCGTACTTCACCGACAGCGGCCAGTCCAACACCTTGGAAGTCCGAGATCTCAGCTACCAGGTAGAAGCACACCTGAGGACAAGGTGGGAGGAGTGGGCAGGGAAGGCCAAATGATTCCCCAAGTGGAAGGTAAGGGTGAGCCCATGCTGGCCACGTTGATGCCTCACATGTTGAGTGAATGTACAGGAGTGCCCTCACCTACACATACCATAGCTGGAGGTTGACAGGCATAAGAGTACGAGACCTTTGTAAAACATAAATTATGTGAACCTCTGGGGGGGGGGAAATCTCTCAAACTTTTTTTAGCTTCAGATTTTGAAATAATTTTAGACTTCTGGGAAAGTTATAAAAATAGTAAAGAGTTTCCATGTACCCTTTGTCCAAATTCCCCTAATGTTAACATCTTGCATACCCAGAGTAAAACAATCAAAACTAAGAAATTAACAATGCTATGACACCATTCTATAGACTTCTTTCAGGTTTCACTAGTTTTGTGTTTTGTTGTTATTTGTTTGCAAAATATACTGTCCCTGGAACTAATAAGACATCCAGAATGCAAGGACTGCGGGCCTTTCAGAGGCTTTCAGGGAACCTCTGGTCAGATTCAAGACTTCCATTTCTCAGACCCACCTGGGGGCAGACCCCAGGTGGTCCAGATGGAACATGCTGGGGGCTGCAATGCTGAACTTCAGAGGCCCAACCCTGGCTTCCTGTAAATGTGAGTTAGGACAAGCTAATGAGGCACGCCATAACCTTTCTCTGCTCTGCCACTTGTTAGCTGTGTGACCTTAAAGGAGATTTACACAATGCCTTATACACAGTAAACATTTAATAAATCATTAGTAAATTACTATCTTTAAGTGAAGACATCATTTTGCTTTATGTTGTATTTTCCTTTCTGTTCTGCTATTGTACATGCTTCCCATGTCTTCAGACTTAGAAATGGTAGCTTCAGGTTCTCAGCACAGGGTCTCAACGTGGGCTACACCCCCATGTTTGATATAGGGGTGGGCCCCTCAACCTGTTTGTATCAGCAGGAGGATATCTCCTATACAGAGCTGAACAGAAGTTGCTGAAACCCTCTGACCACTCAGCTCTCTGAGGAACCTTCCAATGTTTCCCCACAGGTGGACATGGACTCCCAGGTGCCCTGGTTTAAGAAGCTGGCTCAATTCAAGATGCCCTGGACATCTCACAAGGCTTCTTGTGAGCTGGACATCCAAAACCTGAGCTTCAAAGTGAGGAGTGGGCAGATGTTGGCCATCATAGGGAGCTCAGGTACCTAAGGGCAAATAGTGAGGCAATGGGTTCTGTCTCTCCTGGAAAGAAGACTGGTCCCTCAGACAGATGGATGCTTCTCACAGAAGCATGAGTAGAAACAGCATAGCAGAGTGGGTGAGAGCACAGGTTCTGGGTCAGACAGACCTGGGTTCAAATCCCAGCTCCTCCAGGGCGCCTGGGTGGCTTGGTCGGTTGGGTGTCTGCCTTCGGCTCAGGTCATGATCCCAGAGTTCCAGGATCGAGCCCGGCATTGAGCTCCCTGCTCAGCGGGGAGTCTGCTTCTCCCTCTGCCCCTCACCCTTCTCGTGTTCTCTCTCTCTCACTCTGTCTCTCAAATAAATAAAATTATTAAAAAAACAAAACAAAAAAACAAATCCCAGGTCCTCCATTTACTAACTCTCAGGCAGTCGCCATCATTATGAATCACGAGTGTGCCTCCTGAAGCTGCAGCCAGGGCTTGGTCCTTAGTTAACACCTATATTGAGACAAAGCAACAACCTTTCCAAGATCACCAGGCAGCTTCAGAATTCAGTGTTCTTCTCGGGGGACTTCACCACCACCAGAGACATTCACTCATTGTTGCCTCACGACCAGGTAGGCACAGCCCCTGTTGCAACTCCCACTTCTGAGAGAGCCCCTCCAGTTCTTAGTGCAGACTTCAACCACCTGCAAAGATCCAGGTTCTTGGAGTGCCTGAGGGTCACTTCCACAAGCCAAACTTAAAATTATAAGGTGGCCAGAGGTGAATGGGGCCTTGGAGAACAAAGTTCACTCTCTCCAAAGTATTCTTTCTTTTTCCTTCCCAGTTTGGAAGCCTCTTTAAAGGAGGGTTTTTAAATTACCAGTATTTTAAGTTATCAATCAGAGTGTCCTCCTGCCTCCCCTCAACACATGCACACCTTCATTCGACAAATGGGGAGACTAAAGTCTAGACAAAGTGAGTGAATCCCCTGAAGACATATTTAATGCAGAATTGGAACTAGAACTTTGGTCCTCTAATTCTCAGATCAAGCGTTTCTCTCACATGGTATGAGAACACGTTATACCTTTTAGTCATTTCCAGAAGTAAAGATTATTGTTACTTTTTTTTTTTAAAGATTTTATTTATTTATTTGAGAGAGAGAGAATGAGAGAGAGCACATGAGAAGGGGGAGGGTCAGAGGGAGAAGCAGGCTCCCCGCTGAGCAGGGAGCCCGATGCGGGACTCGATCCCGGGACTCCAGGATCATGACCTGAGCCGAAGGCAGTCGCTTAACCAACTGAGCCACCCAGGCGCCCCAAGATTACTGTACTTTTGAACATCTCCAAATTTTTAGTCTTCTGATAGGGAAATTCTATTTATTGTCTAACCAAAGATCAAATAAGATAATGTGTGTCAATGCACTTTGTAACTTAAATAACACCCACAGGGCGCCTGGGTGGCTCAGTCGTTAAGTGTCTGCCTTCGGCTCAGGTCATGATCCCAGAGTGCTGGGATCGAGTCCCACATCAGGCTCCCTGCTCAGCAGGAAGCCTGCTTCTCCCTTTCCCACTCCCCCTGATTGTGTTCCCTCTCTCGCTGTCTCTGTCAAATAAATAAAATCTTTAAAATAAATAAATAAATAAATAACACCCACAGCTCAAGTCCTGCCCACTTTTGACCCTGCCTCTGCAATTCTGATCTAAACATTTCATAGGCCAATTTTATTTTTGTAAATCCTGGTGGCTTTTCTTGTTATATCTGCTTTTTCTTCATGAACTGAGAATCTGGGGCATATGTGGACCCTGGGGAGGCACTTCCACAAAGCCTCAGAGGCATCACAATTAATACTTGCTACACTTGTTTCTATAGCTGTTAGCATCCTCTTGAGGAAAGTGAAGTTCGGAGAGATTGAGTAGTCTCCAGGCCTTCTGACTCTAGGTTCAATGTTGTTTAGCTTCAGGTTTACTTAACTAAAATTATTTAAATGATTTCTTTTTAAGATTTATTTATTTATTTGAGAGAGAGGGTGCGAGGAAGGGCGGCGGGATCCTCAAGCTGACTCCCCACTGAGTGCAGAGCCTGCCGCCAGGGGGCTCAAACCCAGGACCCTGAGATCATTACCTGAGCCAAAATCAAGAGTCGGCTGCTTAACCGACTGAGCCACCCAGGTGCCCCTAAATGATTTCTTAGAAAGATTTATCAATTACACATACTGTGACTCTTACTCCACTTAAGAATGAAACAAAGAATGAATGAATGCTCAGCATAATTTATAAAATATAAATTAAAACAGCCCCAGACACTTTGGCTGCTCTGTAGAATCAGCAGTAGTGACAAAGGTGTTTTCCAATGAATGAATTCAATTAATTGGAGACTCCTGCCATTTTATAAGGCTCTTGAATGCCTTTGGTGTTTTCTCCTGGTCCACAGAAGGCCTCCCCAGTTGCACTAGGCAGTCTCCACTGGAAAGGCCACCCATACCTCTCATAAAGTGTTTAGGAAATGTGGCCTCCGCACTCCCTTATTGGGAATCCCATTGTAGCTATGAATGTTGACAAAGTCCCCTGCTATCTCAGAGCCTGGATCTGATGTCTGAGGCTGGGCAGGGAGGAGGACCAGAGCCCTCCCCTCTGGTTTCTCTCCTGGCTATTTTGCTCCACTTATGTTCCTAGGGACCTTGAATGAGGTGTACCTGGGAGGTAGCATGCAGGTCCCTTTCTACTGTGAGAGCCTCTGGTCAATAAGCAGAAGAATTATTTGTTTTTTGCACTGGAGGCATGGGGCTTCTTGCAGGAAGCATGTGTGTATGGCAAGGAGGGGTGGTTACATTTGTGTATTGGCCCTTTCCTTGTTTGAAAACAGTTGCAAAATTTGCTCTCTGAAAGAAATTGATAGTAAAGAAACCAAACCCTCACTTGGGGGGAATGGGACAGAGCCTCATCCCTACCTGTTTGCAAAGTGTTCTCACAGCTGCAGCCCAAATGGCATTCACAGCTTAAACGGCTGTCAAAGAGTCTCATCAAATGCTTCTGGAAACCTGATCCAATCTGACACTTCCCCAAATCAATAGCAATCGCTGTCACTCAGAGGTGGATGGTGTTAACTCAGGGCAACAGATCACTTTTTCTAGAGAGTAAAAAGTACCACTGATAAAAATAGGAAAAGACAGATATAGAGAAATACACATGTGTATACTATGGTTTAGTTTTAAAATCATGTCCACATCTATTATTCGTCTATTTTTTTCTCCTTATTTCTGAAAATAAGTTCCAATTTTGCATTTTTAAAAAACACTCTGTGAGATCAAGCCCCATGTTGGGCTCCTCTCTCAGCTGGGAGTCTGCTTGAGATTCTCTCTCTCCCCCTCTGCCCTTCCCCCCACTCAGTCTCTCCCTCTAAAATAAATGAGTAAATCTTTTAAAAAACACCCTTTTAATTCTCCAAAATTAGTCCTCCCACAAAGCCAGCTTCTGAGCCAAATGTTGCTGACACATTTACCACCCAAAAATGGTTAAGCTTCATGGTGCAATTAACATCAGCCTTACTTGGGAGAGAAAGGGACTTACTAGAGGCGGAAAGGGGCATTTGCTTCAGGTACAGCCAGGGCCAGGACTCCAGCCCTCTCCTGCCATGCAGCCCCTGGCTACCTGGCTTGAACCCCCAGCGTCAACGTGCCTCCAACGCCCCAACGATGCTCAAACTGGCTGCGGGTGAAAGGCCTGGAGCTCTAGGTTCTGGGACTGCCCCATCCGGTCCAAAAGCTGTGCCACTTTCCCTAGGGGCTGGTTCAGAGTGGCTGGAGAATGTGTGGGCTGCCGTGGCTTCCAGGCCGGCCCCCGCAGCTCTGCTCTCAGGATGTGTTTGGTGGCTTCACAGGCTGTGGGAGAGCCTCTTTGCTGGACGTGATCACCGGAAGGGACCATGGCGGCAAAATTAAGTCAGGCCAAATCTGGATCAACGGGCAGTCCAGCACGCCTCAGCTGGTGAGGAAGTTTGTGGCCCACGTGCGCCTGCACGACCAGCTGCTCCCCAACCTGTCTGCGAGACCCTGGCTTTTGTTGCCCAGCTACGCCTGCCCAGAACCTTCTCCCAGGCTCAGCGTGACGAAAGGGTGACTACCTGACCCTGGTGACCCCAAGAAGTCATGACATCCTTCCCCAGGTCGAGTTTGAGCAGCCCGGCTCACCATCCTTCCAACCAACCCTACGCTCAGCCTTTCCCTCAGTCCACCTTTTTTTTTTTTTTTTAAAGATTTTATTTATTTATTTGAGAGAGAGAGAATGAGAGAGAGCGAGCACATGAGAGGGGGGAGGGTCAGAGGGAGAAGCAGGCTCCCCGCCGAGCAGGGAGCCCGATGTGGGACTCGATCCCGGGACTCCAGGATCATGACCTGAGCCGAAGGCAGTCGCTTAACCAACTGAGCCACCCAGGCACCCTCCCTCAGTCCACCTTTAAACCCTGCAACCCTCGGTAAGCCGCCTGGGCCCTGGCCAGTTCCCTTCACGGCACAGGACAAAATGTGTGAGGAATGGGCGCCTGGGTGGCTCAGATGGTTAAGCGTCTGCCTTCGGCTCAGGTCATGATCCCAGGGTCCTGGGATCGAGTCCCGCATCGGGCTCTCTGCTCCTTGGGAGCCTGCTTCTCCCTCTGCCTCTCTCTCTCTGTCTCTCATGAATAAATAAATAAAAATCTTTAAAAAAAATTAAAAAAAAAAAAAAAAGAAAAGAAAATGTGTGAGGAATGCTGTCTACCTGTTTTCCTGTCCTCCGTGCGGGCAGGGAGCCCAGCTGTCTTGCCCCCAGGTCGCGGCCACGTTTCCAACATGGCGCCACGCCCTGCGCGTGGGAGCCGCTCAGGACGCGCGGAGAGAATGCGGGACAAACACCGCATGGGGCAGTGAAGGCTGGAGCGCAAACCCATTCGGAGGGGCGGGCGCTTTACGCTCCGGGACAACACCGGCGTGGCCCCGAGCCAGGCGGGCGGCCGCGCGCCTCAGCCCCGGCCCGCCTCCGCAGGTGGACGACGTGATGGCCGAGCTGCGCCTGCGCCAGTGCGTCAACACGCGCGTGGGCAGCGCGTACGTGCGGGGCGTGTCGGGGAGCGAGCGGCGCAGGGTCAGCCTCGGGGTGCAGCGCCCGTGGAACCCAGGTGAAGGCGCGAGGTGGGGCCGCGGCGCCCACCTGGCTGGGCCCTGGCCAGCCAGAGTGCTGCCGGCCCCCCAGGCCCCTCTCTCCGCTGGGAAGGAATCCTCATTCTGGATGAACGCACCTCCGGGCTCGACAGCTTCACGGCCCACAATCTGGTGAAAACCCTGTCCCGGCTGGCCAAAGGCAGCCGGTTGGTGCTCATCTCCCTGCACCAGCCTCGGTCGGACATCCTCAGGCTGTTTGATTTGGTCCTCCTGTTGACGTCCGGCAGCACCATCTACTTGGGGGCAGCCCAGCACATGGTGCAGTACTTCACAGCCATCGGCCACCCCTGTCCTCGCTACAGCAGCCCTGCCGACTTCTTTGGTGAGCTGCCAGGCAGCGCCCCCACCCACCAAGCCCCGCCAGGGCCTGGTGGAGGGATCCGGAAGGGAAACTCGGAGGCTTCAGGGGGAGCAGGACCTGGGAGGGGGGCGGACAGAGCGGGCTGTAGAACAAGTGTCCCTTTGCCAAGTATCAAATGTCAGAAACGAGGGTCTGAATAAAGCAGCTTCTGACGTAGCTACCCTTCTGTGCACGATAGGTAAGAAGCCTTTGAGAATTCCAATGGCTAGAGGAGATAGAATCCAAGAGGGTCGGGATCCATTTCTAGAATTGTGGTCTTTATTCAGACTCTGTAGGGAAACTTAGGTTACCTAAGGTCAGGAGAACACCAGGAAATCTTAAAGCTGTGCCCTGATGTCCCCAAAGAGGCAGAGAGCCTGAAGGCACTCGGTGGTAGAGGGGGCCCCAGGGCACAGGGAGCTCAGGGCCATTTGGAGGTTTTGGTCAGTGAATCTCTAGATAGGAAAATTGTTCTGTCAGCACCAGAGAGGCCTATCTGCTTGGGGTTCTGAGCTCTTAGCATATAGCCCTCGGGGGAAGGGCAAGCCAATTCCTTCATTCCTGGGGAGACAGTTGTTTTTACAGGTGCCTGACCTGAAAGCAGTTGCCTGGATCCTGAATGCTGAGGAGTGCCGTGGCTGCTGGCCAGGCCGCAGAGCTTCACCAGCACTGGGGGGAGAAGAGCGGGGGAGGCCGTAGCTGTGGCTTGTCTAATATGTCACCTGGAGCCCCAGCCTTCCTCCCAAGATGGCCCAGTGTAGCAAGGGCGTCACCAATAACCATGACGACAGGGACCATGTCCTTGAGGGCAGACACTGGGCCCAAAAGCACCAAGCTGCAGAGGGTGTGCCTTGGACCCTCACAGACCTGCCAGGGTCATCTCCATCTTTACAGATGAGAAGACCAAAGTCTGAAGAGTTAAACCCCTTGCACAGAACTTGTAAGGCACAGAATGGGGACTCGCAGCCAGTCTATCTGGCCCCTCCCTGACTCCTGACCCTGAGCCCACATCCTCCTCCCAGCATCCAACGTGCCTCCTTCCCGCAGGAGGACAGGCCACTCTCTCCAGCCTGCCAGCCCTTGTGCACTCACACTGTGTGAACTCACATAGAGGGCACCTGTCAACCTGGCCATGGGGAGCAATGTACAGTAACCCCAGAGGGGGTTACCAGAAGCCAGATGTCCACCACAGACCTGAAAAAAAACCCTTTTTCTTTATATGATTATCATTTGTGGGGGAAGGGGCTCTTGCCTACCACCTACCAATCTGGGGTACAGGGCCTGGCAGTACCCAGAGAGTCTGGTGTTCTGAGCTACAGGCCTGCACACTAAGGAGACATACTGCGTTTTACAAGACTCCTCCTAGACATTATCCTGCCTTGCGACATGTCATGAAAATGGCAGGAGGGAAGAGACAGAGGTTAAGAGGAAGAATAGTGGGAGGTGAGCCACCCTCTGGCCTGGAGTAAAGCTGGACTCAGGTGGGCCCTGGTTATGACTGGGTGGGTGTGCCTTTCTGACATTGCAGCAGCCCCATGAGAGTAGAGCTGGGGCTGGGGCTCCCAGATGCTCCCCACAAGTAACGTGGAGGTGGGTGCAGAGCAGCCTGGAGGGCAGTGACAGCTCACCCTCCAGCCAAAACATTCTCCCCTTTTAGGCAGGCTGCTTGGGGAGCCAAATTACCTATTTACAGTGAGAACTAGAACTTCCAGGTGCCCAGACTGCCCAACCGCCTCGTGGCCAGCCCACCTTCTCTCCATGGGCAGGCACACCAGGGAGGCTTAGTCCTCATCTCAAGCTTCCTAAATGGCTTGAGTTGGAGCCAGGGCATAATTGTGCCATGATCTTTGGCTCTTTCTGATGTCCCCATAATGAGCCTGGGGGTTGGGATGGGGGCCAGGGCCCACAGGGCCTCTGGTGTTGCCCTTCCCCTGCAGCAGGCTTTCCCCTGAAGTGGATGTGGCCAGGCCCAGCAGGGTAGGAGGCCAGCCCTGTGTGTCTCTCTGTCTCTCTCTGCTCTGCTCATCACTTCATGGTCCACTCTCAGAGGGTGGGGAGCACATCCTGGAGCCCCCAAGGGCTGACCGACATTGTGAACTGGCCTTGCATCAAGCTCCTCACCTGTGAGCAGGTACAGAGACCCAGCCACCCATGGCCCCACATCTTCTCCTTATAGTGGACTTGACTAGCATCGATAGGCGAAGCAGAGAGCAGGAAGTGGCCACCAGAGAGAAGGCTCAGTCCCTTGTGGCCTTGTTTCGAGAAAAAGTTCATGGCTTTGATGACTTTCTGTGGAGAGCAGAGGCGAGGGAGCTGGGTGAGGGCACTTACCTGGAGAGGTAAAGCAGGCCAGGGTGGCTCTGGGTGGAGAGCTCCTTGCCGAAGGCAGCCGCCCCCACACCCCATGACACACTGTGCTTCTTGACAGCCCGGCCCTCCCCCAAGACACTGACCAGCCCCCGACTCCCACGGAGCTGCCCAGCCCTGTGCAGCAGTTTACCATGCTGATCCGGTAATTATCTGCCATTTCATCCCACTACCACCAACCCTGTCCCACAAGTCTTTATTGTATCAAATTAAGCCCTTTCTATCTAAAGTGAATTTGAAGGAGAAAGCAAGAGGTAGAATCATTTTTAAAAAACCGGTATCACCAAGACCAGCACTAGCCCTCTGTGCAATACAGACACTCCTGTTACTTTTATTCTTTAAACAATATCAAAATGTCCTTACTGGCCGGGTGATTGGAGAAATTACATAGGATAGTGGTGAAAAATTCAGACGATACAGGAGAAACCCAAGTGGAGAGGGAAGGTTACCTGTCACATCAGCCCTCAGAGAAAACCAGACCCACGTGTTTGGTGTGAGTCTTTCTAGATATTCCCATGCACACAGCGTTTTAATACATAAATGAGATCATACTTTGCATATGGTTCTGTAACCATTTTTTTGTTTTGTTTTTGGCCTCATATAGAAAAGGTCTCTACCTCTCATCTGGTTAGGTCTTCTTCGGCATTCCAATCTAAAAAGCCATAATTCATTTCCCTGCTAAGTGCATATTGATGGTTCAATTTTTTTTCAGGCTTTTGCTATGGCAAGTAACGCTGCAGCAACCGTCCTTTTACATACGTCTTTACATACCTGATTGGTTATTTCCTTAGGATAATGTCTTTAAGTAAAATTACACGGTGGATACGTTGACAATAAAGTAAATTATTTATTGTGTACGTAGTGTGAGACAGATGCTTTCATCAATGATCTCATTTGAGCCTCACAGTCCTTGTGAGGGGGTGGTGCTATTCCCATTTTACAGATGAGAAAAGAGAGGCTTGCTGAGATTAAATGACATTGCCATGTGACAGGCAGGGCTGGTATATGTTGTTCCCTTGGCATCTCTTTTGTTTTCTAAGTCGTCAGATTTTCAACGACTTCCGAGACCTGCCAACTGTCCTCATCCATGGGGCAGAGGCCTGCCTGATGTCCCTGGTCATTGGGTTCCTCTATTACGGCCACGGGGCCATCAAGCTCTCCTTCATGGACACAGCCGCCCTCTTGTTCATGATTGGAGCTCTCATCCCTTTCAACGTGATCTTGGATGTCATTGCCAAATGTGAGTGGGCCTTGCTCTCTGTGACCCACACCTGAAACAGCCAGAGGACCCGGCGTTGGTCACCCCTCTGAGCCGGTCCAAAACCAGCCTATGTTCCTCTGAACTCCTGGGGAGAATGGGTTTGCTGAATAGTTTCACCATGATTGCAAAACAAAAGGTGATGATTGTTTTTAAAGTTCGCACATTAATATTAGTATGCAAATGAAAGCAGATTACCCAGGAGTCTTAGGCATTCCTATTATAGCAGGAATTATACTTGACAGCAATGCACAAGTCACAGAATTACAAACATCTAAATTAGGATGGTTTAACTTTGCCTGCTTTTTAAAAATAGAAGACATTTAGTCAATATGACTATTTATAATTGTACTAAGAGATTAGACTCAAAAGCAGAAACACTGAAAATTAATGTCACTTTCATTCTCCTTTTCTCCCCCTTTTTAGGTCACTCAGAGAGGGCAATGCTTTACTATAGCCCTCTCCACAACCTCTCCACATCCTCCTTCTTTGGCAACGCTCTCTACAACTCCTTCTACCTCACCGGGGGCTTCATGATAAGCTTGGACAACCTGTGGACAGGTAAGGCCTGCTCCCCTCCCCTGGTCAAGCTTTTTGAGTCTTTCTGGGGCTGGATGAAGCCTGCTTTCACCTGGGGATGAGAACTCACCATTTAGATCCAAGTTAAGCCTGTTTTTCTGGGAGCCAGCTGTCCTGCTTGTCAAAGGAATGACTCCATGAGAGGGTGCAGATGGCATCTTCTTTTATCCCCAGCTGACACCTGGAGGTCACCCTTGACTCTCCCCCACTCTCCACATTCACCAGTGAGTCAGGTCAGTTCTGCCTATCCCATCTTTCTGAAATGTTCCCTTGCCTGATCCCCCAGCCCTGGCCTTATCGTCGGGTCTCAGACCACCGCAATGGTCTCTGTGATCCTGGTCCTACTGCATCCCTCTTGACCCTCGCCCATGCAGAGGGCGCTTTGTAAGGTGCAAATCCATGTCACTGCTTTTTATTTTTTATTTTATTTTATTTTATTTTTTTAAAAGATTTTATTTATTTATTTGACAGAGAGAGACACAGCGAGAGAGGGAACACAAGCAGGGGGAGTGGGAGAGGGAGAAGCAGGCTTCCCGCAGAGCAGGGAGCCCGATGTGGGGCTCGATCCCAGGACCCTGGGATCATGACCTGAGCCGAAGGCAGACGCTTAACGACTGAGCCACCCAGGCGCCCCCATGTCACTGCTTTTTACAAGCCCTCTGGGGAGCTGCTAACTCCCTGCAGCCCCCACCTTGCTTTTCTGAAGTCCCTAGCACACTCCACGCACACATAGCTGAGCCTGTGTGGCTCTTCTCTGTAGGGCGCGGTCCACCCCCGCCCCCACAGCTGCTCCCTTCTCCAGACCAGCCAGGCTGGGCTTGTTCCTTCCTCCTGCTCCGGGCACTGTGATACTCCTGTGGGGTCAGGGCACAGACTCACAAATCTCAGCTGTGCCTCCTTGAAGCTGAGCACATGCTGGGATACCTCGTAAATGACTCTCTCAAATTGTTACCTTTCCAACATGTGGTGACCCCCACAGCCACCTGGCCCCCTGTACTCCACCCCATGTCCCAAGCTGTCACTTTGGCTCTTTCGCCCTCTCCCTGCCCTCTCGCCGCCTCAGGGACCTTGCTTCCCTTAGGGCAGAGCCGCCAGGGCCCTGTGGTCAGGGGTGCTTCCCAGGGAGCAGGTGGTTAGCCTGTGTGAGTAACATGGCTCTCACTGTCTCCAGTGGATTTCCAAAGTCTCCTTTCTCCGCTGGTGTTTTGAAGGGCTGATGCAGATTCAGTTTAAAGGGCACACTTACCACATGGCCGTCAGCAACTTCACCATCCCTATCCCGGGAGACGTAGTAAGTAGCTGAGGCCTTCGACTCTAAATAGCTAACATCCGTCCGAACGTTTTCTCAGTGAGTTCACTGACGTCTGTGTCCCCAGATCCTCAGTTCCATGGGCCTGAACTCGCACCCACTCTACACCATCTACTTCATCCTCATTGGCATCGGTGGTGGCTTCATGATCCTGTACTACGTGGCCCTGAGGTTCATCAAACAGAAATCAGATCAGACTGGTGATTCATGCCCAGGCTCTGGCCTGCTGGTGGGGACCTGAGAAGACCCTTCAACTGCGCTCCTTTCTTTCCTCCCAAGGAGCCCCTTCCCGGGCACCAGGAGGACAGCACAGGGAGCTCAGCTACACGGGCCCTCAGCACTGCAGTGGCAGAGGCTGACCACAGGATGGCAGTAGAATAAAGATAGTAGAAAGGGATTTGTGATCCCGGGCCAGAGCTCGCCGTTCCTGGGCAAGGGAAAACTGATCTTGGGGACACCTACAATGTTGCTAATTGATTTCCTTTTCATATGTATTTATATAGGCCACTCAGTGCAGGATGGGGGCAAGTTAGGTATGAATTGAATAGGCTATGCAAGAGCTGGATCCAGAGGAAACAACAACATTGCCTAGTGAAATGTTTGGCCTCATCTTCGGGGCTCCCCAAACTGTATTAAGGCACTCTCAATACAGAAAATGATCTAAGACATACCAGTGAGATGTCATCCTTTCTTTTTGTGTGGGATCACGGGCTCCAAAAGCCAAACGGAAGAATTAAAAATTTATTGAACATCTACTGTATACCAGGTAGAGTTCAAAACGCTTTATTTATGTGGATGACCATATACAGTTCTCAGCCCTTTGAGGTGGGTGGTATCCCATTTTATAGATGAGGAAACTGAGGTAAAAATTCACTTTGCTAATAAGTAAGGTCACATGGCTACTATGTGGTGGAGTCACATGTGGGGGTCAGAAAGCTTTGGAAGCCTTAGGGGTTGGAGGGCAAAAGGCAAGTCCTGAGCCACTGTATGGCTTGGAATTCCAGGAAGATGTGGTGGTAGAGGCTGTGCCAGCTCAGCCGGGCCTCTTAGACTTGCATCCCACCGGCCCTGGCTGGCTCTGAGGACCAGCCTCGAATCTTTCACAGTGGCCACGGTATGGGACAGATCATGCCCAGGTTGCATGCTTTGTTGCCTGAGCATTGAGGACCATCTGACCCAAAACTGGTACACAGAGGGGAGCAGATTGTTCCCAAAGGAAACGCCAGCGTCTGGGACCAAAAAAAGGAGGAAGATAAGTATTTGGGAAGCAAACAGTAAACACTCACCCCAGGTTCCCTAGACTATTACTAACACTGCTCGGGGCAAGCAGCATGGACCTTACCTGGGATCTGGTTAGACAGGCAGAATCTCACACTCCACCCAGACCAACTGAATCTGAATCTGCATTTTTAAAAGATCCCCAGGTGATTTGTGTACCTGAGTTTGAGAAGCAAGTACTCTAGCACACTGCCCTTTTACAGTACACCAGGAAACTCAGGGTCTTTACACTGCTACATTATACCATGGCGTATTTTGACATCGTTACATTGCTACCATCCGATGGGCAGGCCCAATTCAAGAGTCACTAATTGTTCGGACAAGGACCTTCATGGCAAAAGGATCAAGCAGATCTAGTTGTCAATTCTCTTTGGGCTCCTTCAGTTTAGAACAGTTCCTCAACTTTCCTTAACTTTTGTGACCTTGACACTTGAAGATTCTGCAGAATAGCTCTCAGTTTGAGTTTGGCATATTTTCATGATGAAATCCAGATCATGAATTTAATGGGATATCACAGCGATTTCCTTTGGCAGAGATGTTGCAGAAGTGACACGCCCTTCCCCTTGCATCCTTTTGGTGGTAAAGATTGCAGTTTGTCCTGTACTGAAGATGTTCACTTGATCACAGGGGTGTCTGCCAGGCCTCTCCACAGCCAAGTCCCTTGTTTGGTAATTCATAAGCATTTTGTAGGTAGGTACTTTGAAACTATGTAAGTTACCTGTTGCTCATTAAACTTTCCATTTATGCATTTTTCAGTTTATATCAATATAAAATTGTAGTTTCCTATTTTAGTCAATGGGTTTTGATCCCTTAGTATCATTATTAATTTTTATGTTCAAATCATCCCTGATTTGTCCCTGGGAGCCCATTCAAGTGGGCTTCTGCATCCTTTTGATCTGTCCCCATTGTTGAGTGAACACTTTCTTTCACAAAGTGTTTCAGGCTCATCTTGTACTTTTCCACCCCCAGTCCTTAGACCCAATGCTTAGAAAGCAGACATTTCTCTAAAAAATCTTGGTTCCTTTTAGTGGAAAATGGTATCTAAAAGCCAAGATCTGAGTGGTAAGTCTGTCCATTGCTACTGGGGCATCACTGCCCCCAGGCCCTCTTAGGAGGCCAAGTTGGGAATGCATACATGTGTACACAGGTCTGTATATGTGTGTGTGCGCACATATACACACCTGCCTGTACACTAATACATCCAGTTCCCAAATTCCAGCACACCATAGAGCTGATGCTAGTATTCTCCTTTTCTGTGTTTGTAACTCCCTTTTCCAATTGCGAGAAACCTGGATTCCACTGGCCTTCACAGTTTCATTCATTTGGTTAATCCCCTGCATGTAACCAATCTCCCATCTACACCACATTTTTTCCGATGTGTAGATACCCTCCTCACCCTGCTGGGGCTGTATCTCCCCCATCAAGCTGTCCCCTAGTCTGCACAGATGCCGTCCTCATCCTATTCCAGCCCACCCCGGCTCCTCATCCCACACCCACACTGCGGTCACCTAAAGGCTTTAGGCCAGAAGGGAGAAAGAAGGAGGAAGAGGACATTGGGCTTTTTCATGAACTCCCCAGTGATTCCAACGTGCAGTGAGGGCGGACAGCCACTGGGGTATATCATCTGACTGAGTTATGGCCACTCAGTTTACAAGGGGTCTTAATGACTCAGTGGGCTCTGGTGTGCAGGGCTGTCGGGGAAAGGGGCAAAGTGCCAAGGCCGGAGAATGGGAGAAACTCCAGCAGCGGCCATTTCTTTTTTTGCTGGAGCATCCTGGTTCTCCACCCTGGTTGCCCACCCTGGAGCTTTAACAAATAACCACTGTGGAGATTCTGATTTCATGGGTCTGTTTTTTGAAAGAAACAAAACCAAATGAACAAACAAACTGCTCCCCAGGGTGTGCAGGTGGTCTACTCAGCCCCTCCCTGCCCTGAAAGGGGGAGAGGTCTGCCTGTGAGTAATTTTCAAAAGCAGGGGTCACAAACTCTACCTGTTAAGGGTCAGATAGTATTTCAGGCTTCGAGGGCCACTCAATTCTGTTGCGGTGTTGAAAGCCACCACAGACAATTCTAAAGTACGGGAAATGTGGTTGTGTCCCGGTGAGACATTACTTAGAAACACAGCGCTCTGGATTTGTCCCAAGGCTGTAGGCTTTGCACACCCTTGACCAGAAGGCAAAAGTTTTGAAGTTTGCATTTTAAGCCCTCCAATTTCTTATGCTGTTGACAGGGAAATTTTAATTAAGCAGAAAGTAATTACCTATACTGACTCAATTTTTTTTTTTTAAAGTAGGCCCCATACCTAGTGTGGAGCCCAACACAGGGCTTGAACTCACAACCCCGAGATCAAGACCTGAGCTGAGACCAAGAGTCGGATGCTTAACTGCCCGAACCACCCAGGCGCCCGACTCAATATTTCTGATGTGATTTCGTTTTTTTCCTGCTCTTGTTCCTATAAAATTGATGTAAGGCCTAATCTTGCCCTGGGTCAAGCTCATCTCACCAGTCAGGTTCACAGAGAGAGATCTTGTGCTTGCTGTTTTCTTTCTCCCACTCGACTTGTTTTGATTCCAGATCAAACAGCTAGCAGCAGGGATATTTAAGTGGACACCAAATCCAAGTGCTAACCGCAGACCTGGTAGATGTAGGGGCTCTACCGAGACTCAAGTATGACTCAGCCGAGGCCCCTTCCCTCAGGCCAGCCCCAGGCGGGCAGAGCCCAGCCCATTTTCTGCGGCACATGTGGTTGTTAGCAGCTAACAATCAAAACAGTAGTATTTTAAGCAGTGGGTTGAGATTTTTTAACACACACCAACTCAGAGGCCAGATAACACTTCTCAGCTTTCCACGTCATAGTGCCCATGTTTCTTGTCTTTTTGTAAAGTTGGAGCTACTCCTTGTTTCCCCAAACTGCTAAAAAGCCCCACTGCCCCGTGTTAAAAATGAAGCTCTTTATTTTTGTTGATCCCCCTCTTGTACTGAAGTGGCTTCCATTACACATTTGAAAGCCCTCCTCCTCCTGGCAGTAAACTTGAACATGTTTTCCATGTGGGAACACGGGTTTTAAATGACTTCTTGGGCCTCGACTCCCACTATCCTGGCTCTGAGCTACAAAGTGGCATCTTTGATCTCTTAGGAAGACAAGTGTGTGTGTGAGGAAACCCTCCAGTGCATGCAAGGCACACATCTCAGAAAGAGCATGGCTTGTAAAGTGGGACCAGGTGCTGTGCTCATTGTTCATTCGACGACGCTTACTGGGTGCCAAGCAGGGCCAAGGTTCTGTTCTAACTGGCGTAGAGCTCACTGTCTGGGGGAGGAAATGACATAAGCAAGTAAATAATGATGGTTTCAGTAAGTGCATGCCTGGGGCAGGGTTGGTGAAGATACTACTTTCAAGAGATCTCTGTAAGCTCGGATCCCGACGGCCAGCCATTGTCCAAACAAATGTGCAGGGGCGCTAAGTATGAAGTCAGTTAAATGTTTTTGCTCTGCCTGAACCGGATGTTTCTTTTCTTCTGATGGTTCTTTTCTTCGTGCAAAGAAGAAAAAGATAAGTGCTTATTTTGAATTTGCAAATGCAGCCATTTCCTTTATTTGTACTAAGGCTGCATAATGTGGGCTTTGTAAAGTCCATGGGTCTGAAAGCACTATACATTCCTAATGGAAACAGCAAAGTGATAAATTACCATGATTGTGTACCCCCTGCAGCTATTAGCTCGACCATACTTCAGGAATGTTGCTTTCACTTTATAGAAACTACAAATATTGGTTTGTCAGAAAGACAAATATTAAATGAAAATTGTGCTCAAACACATGAGAAAACGTATGCAGAGCACACACACTGCAGACTAGAGGAATAAATTGTACAGGGAAGAACAATTTGCAATATAAAGCTTGCTTAATAATTTACCACAATCCACAAACTTGGCATTTATGCCAGGCACTGGGTATTTGACTAAATGGAAGAAAATAACCTTACAATGTAAAGCTGTTGGGACTGGGAACATTTGTTTTAATGTGAAAGCTTGCTTTCTTAAAAATAGAAATATCCCAACAGTTTAGAGGTTCTAATTTAACTTTTAACTGGATTTCTAACTGAATTTAAAATTTAACTGGATTGTTTTTGGGAAGTCGGAGTCCTAGCCATGTGATAAATCACCGTGATTCTGATCACTGTGGGTAAATTAACTTCTGTAAGCCCGGATGTTTCTCATCGTGAATGTGACGGAAGAGGGGCGCCTGATGCACAGTACCAGGTGCTCATGGTTAGCTCCGCAGAACACACGGACCAGACAACAGTACACGGGGGACCTAGGGCCAGGACTATGCAAGGTCTGGGCTTACAGACGTGACACACAGAACTGGGACCTGGGGAGTTCACAAGCTGCATGGTACGTGCTCTTTTAAGTGGCTGCGGGAGCCCTGGAGAAACAATAGGCTAGATGGGGAGAAGGACCAAGAAGCCACAGAGAGGAGCCCCCCAAGGTTGGCCGCAGCAAGCTCACCCGAGGAAGGAACAGGGGGGTAAGGCAAGGGGCTAAGTGTGCCCGGGACCACTCTGTGCAGCTGTGGAATGCTCCTTCTGACACTTAACGCAGATAAAACCGCCTTTGCTTTCAGTGTCCATTTACCATACATCCACCTCTCCTAATTAATTCTCGCCAACTTTGTACCTCAGGGATCTCAAATATCTGCTTGTCCTTACAATAGAGAAGCCGTGATATTGTTGGTTCTCTACACACAAACCGTACACCATTTAGCAAAGAAATTCTGGCCACAATAGAAGCTACCACACAGTTTTTAATTTAAAATTTTAAGACTAAAGTCCTTGGGATGATAAAAGTGATTATGCAGGGCGCCTGGGTGGCTCAGTCGTTAAGTGTCTGCCTTCGGCTCAGGTCATGATCCCAGGGTCCTGGGATCGAGCCCCACATCCGGCTCTCTGCTCCGTGGGAAGCCTGCTTCTCCCTCTCCCACTCCCCCTGCTTGTGTTCCTGCTCTCGCTATCTCTCTCTCTCTGTCAAATAAATAAATAAAATCTTAAAAAAAAAAAAAGTGATTATGCAAAAATTTGATAAGATTAAAAATGAAGAAGCTCACAGGTTTTTGGAGTATAATTTATTCAAAGCATTTCACATTAAAATTGTATTAAATCCATGAACATACAATTACATGTAAAACATGATACTTTCCAAAAGTTTACAATGACATTTACTTTTTAATTTTAGTCTAAAACGTATTATTGTGTGCTATAATTGTGTTTGCTGTCTATTTCTATTTGTTTCAATTTTGCTATTAGATATTTAGAAAGCATTTCTTAGCCCACATAAAATACACAATTACATTTTTAATATTTAAATTCAAAAGGGGAAGCCAGTAGTGCTGTTTAGAATATGCTAGATGAGGGATTTGTACCTATTTCCTCGGCACTACACCTGGCATTTTACCAGCGTCAATAGACAAGGCTGGCTTGGAGTCACTTCATGCAAATAAGATTATACTCTGTCTCTGGCCCAGACAAAACTGGGAAGTCCAGGGTATGTCCCAAGGTTATGCCTCTTCCGAGAGACCTATTTCAATGAACATCAATAAAGTGTTGCTCCAGTAACTTATGGTTAGCATAACTGCAAAAAATAGGGCCTGCTTCAGTGGAATCACTAACAGGCGTGAGGCTCATGGCCAAGCAGACAATACAGGTACTTACACAACAGCTCCAGGTCCTGCCCCTGGGGAGCAAACAAA